GGGAGAAACGTGCTGCGTGGCTGTTCAGCATGTGCAGAGTTTGGGTCAGTTGCTTCATGTGTGTGGATGGTGCTGCAGCGTTGCAGGCACAACAGGAGGCACATTAATTAATTGGCTATATATACATTATTGATTGGCTTTAAACTAATGGAGCTGACACGATAAACAGGCATTACGAATTTCTAGGGCTCAATAACCACCATCTGTTACGTAAGCGAATTTCATGGGGCATAAATGAGGTGTTAGATCAATGGAAATATTTTCTAGCAACAGCAAAATTTTGGGGGTGAAAAGGAAGAGTTCAGCTCCCAGGCAGAATCTGCTCCGGAGTGAGCGACATGGAGCAAGAGAGGGGCCATAGTCCTTCTAGCAGCACCTGAAATTTCCACTGGTCCAGGATTGACTTTATATGTAAATCTAMTAAATATATCTGGGAGTTGGAAGGTAAATCAGTGCTGACACTGTGAATGGCTGGAGGTTTGAGTTAGGGGGAAAGCTAGTTGTGAAACAGCTCGTGTTAACAAATACTGGGCCTGTGGAAGCTGTAGCTGGCGAGATGCTCAAACGCCTCGTATACCTGACCTGAAAGGTCGACCAAAAAGCACGGAGCCCTTGGGACTGTGAGCAGGGATCTCCTGGTGTCTCCCGGTGTGGGACACAGTGGAAAGCAATGTGCTGGAAGTCAAGCAACGATTGTGTGAGAACTGCTTCAGGAAAACATATTCATCTTGGTGGACTGCGAAAACCCTAGATCATTAGATAATAACTTACTTAGAAGTCATCTCTCCGCCAGCTAACTATGATATTTCTTCATATATATATACATATAAATATATATATACATATAAAATACCTCCTATAGCTAATACTAATATTTTTTGGTTCTTCATATATATATATAAATGTATATAACACCTCCTATGGTTAATATTAATATTTTTTGCTTTTCAGCTGAGTGGTCGTTGTCTCCTTGGTGGCCAACATGATTTTTTTTTCATTTATTTGAGATTTTTCATAATGGAAAGTGATTAAAAATCAGAGCTATTGATTTTTTATTTTCATTAGTCAAAGCTATTGTCCTCGGTGACCTTTCTACATGTGAGACGTCATCTCCTCTCCCTGCTGTTGGTGCTTGGTGGGGGTCATATTGAGTATAAAGTGACTCAGAATATACCAACAGGGAGAAATTATGAGAATTGTAAGTGACCCTAAAAACCCCTTGTGGCTGCATCAAAAAGGCTATTCTTAAAGCTATTCTAAAAGTTATTCTTCCCGGGAAGAAGTGGTGGGAATAGGGATTTGCAGAAATTCATACCTCAGACCATTAAGTGCCCCAATTAGTGCAACCAGAGACAGAAATTGCTGCAAGAACTAAGAGGCGATGACACAGCACCGGTCCGACCAGCAACCGTTCTCAGCAGCGAGCGATGCAAGCGCAGCTAACGAGCAAGCAGCGCACTTCAGAAACGTGGTTTGTGTCAGTGCTTCTCCGTGCTGAAGGAAYGTCACTGAAGCGGGAAGGCTGCACATCTACGAACTGAAACTACAGCTCGGGAACGGCTGCACGCCTTTGTGACGTACGGCTTGCAATGCCAGACCTCAAATCCAAAGCATAAGTCACGGAATGGTAGGAAACCAGTGCTCTGGCGCARAGCTGAGCAGCAATTTTCAAGGCTTTTCTTTGAAGAGCAGAAAAAGCCTATTCTTGCATCACACTGGCAGAATTTCTTACTTGAAAGGAGCGAAATACTGACTTTTAGAAGTTTGTCTTGCCCTTTTCCTCTGCATTGTAAGGAAGACTTGGCCGAGGGATAAACCCAGGAGTACTTGGAGAATTTACAAACAGCTCCTTTTAGGGGAGCGAGGACAACTTTATGATGCGTGTGAGAGAACTGGGCAAAGGCTCAGCTATTGTGTTCATTTCTAGGGGTGGTGTCGCTAGCTTGGCAGAGAGAATCCACCAGGGCTTTTGTCCTAAGCTGCATTAATTCAGAAAGCAAGCCTGAGCTTTTCTGACGTGTTGTGAAGAATGGCTTGATACTGGACTAAAATCTGGCACCTGCTGCTGAGGCAGGACTAAAATCTGGCACTCTGCTGGCTTTGCTCCTGCCAGTGCCACCCAGGCCTGCGGARGCCCTGGGATGCCAGGAATGTTGCTGAGGAACTTGGATGTTTGGTAGGGGATGTTGAATAGTTCAGGTGCAATGTGCTCACTGTGCATTTAAAAGGACTTGCTTGCTTAGACATAATGGCTTTCCCAACCGACAGGATTTCCCAGAGGGTGTTTCCTTGTGTTCCCCGTTCGGTGCCAAAAGGACCTGTCCAAGTCATTAGCAGCGCTCCTTTTCCTCTCTGGCTTATGGGATTGCATTGATTATGCAGCACTGCAACCCCTAACTATACACATACATATATGTATATACATATATATTTGGGTGCACACACTTGATGTCTTTTTGAAGACAAGTGTGCCATGGGATGCTCAAGAGCACAGAGAAGGAAATGCTGACAGCAGCTCCGCGTGTACGTGTAGGCGACAGGAAAGATTAGGAGGGGGAGGATGGGGCTGCACTGATACAATCATAAACAAACYAGGACTCCGGTTACTAAGATCACAAAAAAACAGTTACCAAGACACAAATACTCACTGGGAATGAGCYGGTTTGAGCAGGCAGGGTTAGCTCCACAGGTACCGGACAAGGCCAAACACAAAACTAGATATGAATTTAAATATGGAAGATCTTTTTTCTTTTCCATGGTTTGTATTTGATTAGACTCTTTGATCTCTCRGATATCTTAATGATTTAAAGACCGCAGCAGTGGCTAGTTCCTGAACATTAGYGCTGTTACTGAATTAAAACTAAGGAAGGGGAAGGGGAGGAGGAGTGTGTGGAGAGGAACTCCACTGCAATGAATCAGGTAAGGRCTGAGGAAGTTTGAGACAGTTTTTGAAGGGAAATCACACAGGGATATTTGAGCTAGGCAGGGAGAGGATCAGGAGCAGAGGGACTGACACAGCAGAGGCATCGCTCTGCAGCATCACAAGAAACCACTGGCTACARACAGGAGGAGGGAGAGACCTTCATTTCTTGCAACATCCCTCCTGGTTGGAATCCTAAAATAACAGAAACTTCCAATTACTCTCCTGAAGGAACTGACTTTAACTGGACATTCCTTCTTTCTATTTACCTGAAATCAAACCAGGATGCTTTAGAAGCCACAAGTGGTATTTTCACAATGCCTAGAATAAAAATACCACCTCCCTTCCCTCCCTGTGCAGGGCACCACCYGTGACTGCCAGTGTAGCTGCTCAGGGTTAACCATGCTCAGCTTTAAATGCCTTAAGTGCATGTCCTATATTTGTACCATCCTTTCAATCGTACTCAGACTTTAGCCCATCTGCATCTGAGAGAAAACTTGAATTGACTGTGAAGTATCCACAGTCAATCCATGGACTATTACTGGTGCTGTTACAGGCTACTTACATAGCTGCTAATTATACTGGAAAACACCTGGAATAGCTTTCAGCCTCCCAGCACTATCTTTAGCAAACCTCAGGTATAATTACATTTAATTACTGGCACTATAGGTGCCCCTTTCTGCTATATTTATAGCTGGAACCCGTCAGTGAAGGTAAGGGGTCAGGACACACGTTCTGGGTAAGACACTAATCCTAAACTGGCCCATGGTGTCACCATGCCATGGGAAGGGGGCTGTGACCTGTGCCCATGGGGCTGCTGCGGCCTTTCCTGAGCCTTCACCTSAAGTGAGAAGTTGAAGCCTTGGTTCTCCTGACTAAACTCCGAGAGCTCCCAGCTATCTCCATTAGAGTCTTCTACCTGGAGAGAGAGAAAAATCTTCTGAGTTATCAGTGACCCAGCCGGGGTTTATGATTCAAGGCCTGAGCCTCCAGCAGGGCTCCTGGGGGCAGTTCCCTCAGTACTACCTGATGAGCCAAGGCTTGGGAAATAACAGGAATGGGGGCAGGAGGAATTGCACATCTATTTCTGAAACAGCTGAACTGCGTGATGCCTGTGGTGACACCCTTTCAAGAGCCAAGACTGCTGCTTATGATGCTGCCCTGTGCAGCAATAATAATAATAATAATAATTCTTGACATAATCTTGCAACAGTTCAGTTGAAACCATCTCATTCGCCAATGGAAAATCACCAGGTAATTGTGCAGACTGACATTCTGCCAGCGCTGCTAATCACTCATTAGAGATGCACAGGCCTAATGGGGCCGGCTCACAGGCGAGCCCCAATCTTCCACAATATTGGTTCAAAAGCAGCACTCTCAGAGGGAAAAACTTAAAATTCCTTCATTTCACATTATGTCCTACCTCGGCAGAGCTGTTGACCACGGCGTCGCAATGACTGTTTCTTCCCACTCTGCATTTGAGGCTGCACATCCAATAAATGACAACAAATTTGCATTTGTTTTATTTATTTCAACACTATGATTTTAAGAGCCTAAAAATGCAAGTTCTTCCCTTTATTTCTGCAAGTAGCACTGCAATCATAACTTACAAAAAAGTTTAAAATACAAAATGTACATGAAATTACAATACAAGGCTCTGTAAACATCTAGAACTTAATCTTTATTGTCCCATATTTTTAAATATAAAACTTCAATTTGAATGATTTCCAAACCTCAAGGAATGACATCCATTGCGAGTATCAAAAATAGACTTTTCAAAGCTTTGTTTGTATCAGAACAAAATGGTCATGTTCTTTTCATTCTTTGGTTTAAAAAAGATGGCAGTTCCACTGATAACAGATGAAAGCTTTCCTACGGAAATTCAGATTGGTAGGTCATGGTAGCTTCAGAAATTAAAACTTTTTATTTTTTGCTCCATGGWTTACCATACTACCCCTTCAATTTTTGTTTTTAACATTGATCTTTGATCCCGCCTTAGAGAGAAGCTACTTCATCGTTAAGGCTTTGCTTCAAGTTTAGGAYCTAAATTAGTATTAAGTTTTGGAAGAGGGCTCAAGGAGGAGAAAGAACTTAAGGGCAAGAAAGTGGATGCCAACAAAATATCAACCGCTGCAGGGTTCTGTTGTTGAATTCAATTTGCATAGTCCAATAGAGATTGTGTGCTTTTTATACCACTAAAAATTATACAAGATTAACAGTCTTTCACCTACATTATCACACAAGCTAAAATAAAATTAAGACCCTTGTACTGAAGCTTTTACAAGGCAAATACAAAACTGCTTTAGTATCCAAAGCTATATATATTTTTTTAATTTCATTTTTTTTTTTAAATAGGAAAGCATCTCTATGTCTACAGGCATCAAGGTATTTAAAGGCATCAGAAGATTTAGTGCATAGCAACTCTGGATTGTTTGGGCTCCTATATTTCAGGTACAGGATGAATTCCAGCTACTTACTCGGAGAACTTGCAAGGAGAAGTCTGTACCAGTAGGATAAAGGAGCATAAATCCCATACAGTATGAACAGCTTGGAAGTTAGAATTCTCCTACAAACAACAGTTAATGCAAAAGACCTGGTACATGAATGAAACCTAGGACATACCTTGCACCAGCACACAGTCTGAAAACAATTACATATCTTACAGTGTTTTTTCCTTTTTTTGTTTTGCTTTTTTTAAAAAAAAAGTGTTTAAAAACATAAGTAGATGTATTTCTGAACATGTCAACCCTTTTCTAGGATTATTAATGTAAATAAGTATAGGACAGAGTAAAGCACCATCACTGAGGGACAGTTAAAATATCACTTTTCACTGCTTTTTTTTTTTCCTTTCAAATTTACAGATTTGCACTTCTGAACAGTACATTCACAAGAGGGATGCTTAGATTTCCAGCATATACACACACTGGCCTAACATTAAATTGTTTCAAATAGGTTGCCCTCTTAAAAGGAARTATTTTATAAAATGTGCTAATTTCACCCACTTGATGTATGGCCATTTTCAAAGTCAGTGATTCAGCTATTACAGAAGTGGTTAGGTCTACTTCAATGGTATTGCTTGGACTGTGACTTAAGTTTAGGTGTAATGKCTCGTATGCAAGAAGCTCAATGTAGCCTCCCCTGATTGTCTGCCAATTGCATCACAGAAATCTATATTTACTTAGTCTTTTTTCATTAACAGAACCCACTTTAAGATGTTCTACTGTGATTTTTAAGAGTTTATAGCAATTTTCTACAGACCAGAGGCACATCCTCCCCATGCGTTCAGCCATTAAAGTGTCCACAGTTGTCTGATCGGAACGCAATTACCCTTCCTATTTTTCGATAATTTTGACTGTGTTTGCTCTCTATTTTCATTTAGAGCATCATGACTCATCCAAATCAGGAGCTAAAAAAAAAATCTTAAGTATTTGAGGTTTGGTGTATTTCTGATCTTGGTGAGTGTTGTTTTACCCTGTATGAACCATATTAGAAAGCTTTGTAAACTACAATTTCTTTAGGGCACGAGAGGGCACTGGGGGGGTGGTGGCCGTGCGTGTTTCTGGCCTGAACGGGCAGTTTCAGATCCTCTCCTAGGTTCCTAATCATAGAGGCCTGAGATTTTTTGATAACTATGTAAACATTATCAGATTATATGGGTAAGGGAAATGCATCCTTTGAACACAGCACAAAGTGCACTGCGTATGCTGCTGCCACAAATCCTGTGCATTTCTTTGGTAACTTCTGCTTCACGCATTTACAATTTAAAAAAGGGCAAATTATGCTACTTATTAATTCACAGTAAATTATGTTGTATCAGACTAAAGCTTATAAATGGTTTCAATTTAAAGAACTGTAATTGTCATCTCCTTAGGAGTTCAGAGTGGCATGGTTCAGGTATACAGCATGTAAGATGGAGGTGACCAAATGATTTATTGCATGGAAAATTTGAATGCCACCGAATTGGTAACTTCGAAACAGCTTTTGTAGTGATAACAGGAACACCCAGATCCCCAGCAAATATTAAATTTCTCCTGTAGCTAACATGGCTTTGAAGTTGCAGTTCTTTACTCTAAAATCCTACTTCTCAAATTTGATTACAAATGTAACTTTCTAAGAAAGAAAACTATTTCAAGAAGGAGCCTGTGCTAATAAAGTACAGGAAGATTATCCACAAAGTTATAAAAGTTAATTTTGGAATGTCATTTCTATCCCAACACTTCCATGATGGAATGGTCTTTTTGCAGCCTATCAAGTAACATTTTCAGTTTATAAACAAGTGCAGATCTACATTTGGCTTTGCTTCCTATGAATCTAAGAGAGAAAACACTATAAAGTATTTGTGTACACAATGACTTCCATGGCATTGGCTTCAGATGACAGGTATGATTTGCCTCTGGAAGATCTTGTTAAAAAAATTTAAACAATATAAGCTTAAAGGCTTTCCAAAATGACCAAAAGGTGTTACAAATCATCAGTTACAATTATGCTATCTCTAAGGGAAAGCAGCACACTGAAGAGGTGTATTAAATCTTTCTCCACGTTCGGTACTGTGAATATTATAAGAGCAAACTAACATCTTCACACATTTGAAGCACTTACAATATAAAAGTATTCTATTTAAATGCAAAAAAAAAAAAAAAAAAGCAAAGCTCGTTTGCAACTTTTGAACAGTTAAAATATCTGGTGTAGATTCTGTGTGTCCGTTTTAAGAAGTCACTTTACAGCATCTGAGGAACTATCATTATAAATGCTCTGTCTCTACATCAAAAATGAAACCCGCTAAAAGGGCTATGCAAGGATCCACTGTTCCAGTTCATAAAGGCCACAGAGTTGGAAGCACAGTAAGTCTAAAGAGGAAGAGGATGAAGTAATATTCAGAGAAACTGTGAAGCTTTCAAGGATGCTCAGTTGTAAGCTTATCTGTTACTGGATTCCATCCGATATTCCTGTCTCCAGCGATCCAGGGCATGTCTGGGGAGACTGGCTGGCCACTGTCGTTCCATGTGACACTGAGATCTGTGACATGTCTCTTCCTATGATCTCATTCACTACAAAAAGAAAAAAAGAAAAAAAGTGTCTGTTTTTAAACCTTCCAAAATGCAGCACTTATAAAGTTATGGCTAACTGCATGTACATTAAAAAAAATGTTCTAGCTTGCTCTTAGCTTTGCATTGTGTACTTACCATAATCCATGTGGGGGGGGTTCCCAAAACATTTAAGGCAGGCAAGTAAATGCACATTCATGCAACCCAGGTGACTGACAGGCCCAGCACAGGCAAGTTCAGTACAGATTTCCCCAAGGAACTCTTGCCATGTGAGAATTTAAGGAGAACAACAAGAGGTTCTGCTGCTGTGGGAACCTTGGCCATACCAAGCTACTTACAGAACTTCCTCAGAACTTGGATTTGGGCTGATACAGTATTTTCTGCAATGCACAGCTAACTAGCCAGYGTTCTGAAATTGCAGTAACTTTATCGGACAACTTCTTCTATCAAAAATAACTGAGACTGACTAATATGCAGGCTGGATTGTGTGTGTGATAAACTTACCATGCAATAGTCAGCTAATACTATTTACAAATGAGACACCCCCCTATAAATACAAGAGATGAGTACACAAGTTGTGAACAWGTAAAAGTTTTACTGTTACTCTAAAGCCCAGACAGAAGTAAAAGTATTATTTAATTTGGAAGATGACAGGAATCATTTTAATGGTTGAGCTAAAGTGCACTGATATAAATGCCCACTTTAAAAAGGGGGCAATGACAAGTTGACTGAAAAAAATGAACTGGTAATAATCTAAATAGAGAAGAAAAATATTACATTTAATATATGAAACCAACAATATATGAGACCAACAAAAGTATACAGTATCCTAGAACAGGCAATCATAGTAAATGTTTTTCACACAATATCAATAAATACTGAATCCCTTAATTGTAAGACATTTGAACATGTCAAATTATTATAATTAATAACTTCTTGGAGCTTTTAAGAACTACCTACACTTTTAACAAAAAATAAATGCTTAATGCCAGAGTGGAACAGCCCTGTCACACCTCACATTTTTCTTCCGAAGAACTTGGGGGCAGGATATACTTTTAGTCTGAGGCTAGTCTAGATTTACACAGTTTATATGGATYCACATTAGGAACATGTACAATTTCTTACTGGAACACAGTACCAGCAATCCCTCCCCCTCTGTCTTTGCAACACACAAATTTACTGCAGTAGTAGAACTTGCCTAGGGGTTTTCCTAGGGCTGTTATATCTTCAAACACAAATTGTATTTAAGTACCCCTTTTTGGTGGTGTTACAAGCAGTGTCTGAAGGAGTTCTATCTGACARCCATGCAATCCTGAATCCTCCTTCTGCCACGTCTCTGACAAAGGTGTTTTTTTCACCTTCTCCTAGCCCATAATCTCCTGCCTAGCACATTTTATTTGATGCTTTCCGAGAGAGCCCCTTTCACACTGCAGCTAAAGCTGCAAGCAACAAATGTACAAGGGGAAGCCTGCAGAATTAGAAATCTGAAGCACAGAATTTGAATATACATCATCTTCCTCCACAGAGTCATTACACTTTAGAGCATGCAGTGGCCTGTTGTTAAATCTCAAATCCTAACTCACAAACATAACCATGGATTTTTTTCATGAATATTGCTTAGCAAAATCCAAAGTTCTTAAATCCTAAAGAGAAGAAATCTTCTTCAGACCTGAGAAATGACAGAGCTCAGCCAATACTGATGGTATTTTATCTAACAAAAGGATACTCATTGTTTCACTTGCAAAAGAAAGCTTCCTCTGCACCTTTGCTGTTTTCARCTATGGTGGGGACGCTATTCTTGAAATACAGCTAGATAAAGTTTCATGTGTCCTTTCACTTAAGTTTAGGAGACATCCAGCAAGCAATTAGATACCAGGAAAGCAAGAAGCTATTTAGTCAATTTAGCACATGCACTTGCATTTTATAAAATTTCCTTTTGCCCTTCAGTTTCTTGGTGTTACAGTGGCTTAGTTAATACTTAGCACTGGTTCATTGCCTATCGATCACCTGAAARTCTTGAGCTATCAGCAATAATTGAGCAGATAAAATCAAAAGAGCCAACAAAGGTTTTATGTGCTAATAATCAAGGCTGCTAATCTTGAAGTAATGATTGGATCAGAAATGAGATTCGTGACAAGATCAGTACTGGACAAGAATAAAATCAAAATCAGATGCTTGACACATGCTACAATCTCTATTAAAACATGGCACATTCCTCAACTATAAAAGTGAACACAACATTTGAAAACTTGATTGTTGGGTAAGGCATGAATCAAAATGCAACGTAAATTTGTTTCTCTCCCTCTCTGGCTGTGAAACAAAAACAACTTTTAATGACTMTCCTGTGTCTATTTAATTGACCTCTTTGGCAGTTATCCCAGATTTCAGAATTTCAACTCTTACTTTATTTGCGATAGTTTCACCTTTTTTTTTCCCTTAGTATTTACACAAAATGAAAGCTGGCTGCTAGATTTATWCTAATAGTTAAAAATAGACTGTGCGGAACAGAATTTAGGTTGGTGGGAAAAAACCCTTTGCCACACACTTGGATGGACCTCTCCGTACTGACAGTACCAGCATGTACTGCATTTTCTGCTCTCCGCGTTGCATCTTACACAACATGAAGATGATCTGGTGGCTCCCCTTCTCTCTTTTTTTTTTCTTCTTTTTAAATGCTAACATAAACTCTCACCAATACCAGTAGTTCAGAGATGAAGATAACCAGTTCTAACTGCTGGATTTGCTGTCAAGCTTATAAAGAGAGCAACCGCATATTCGCTCTATTCAGGGACTGTTCCCACTGTTTTGACTTCACATAGTGTTCTGTTTGCTTTTGTAAGTCCCTGCTGACTGTACACATGAAAGACAGGGAGCTGCTGAGATTGATACAGAATAGGGGCCATGGCTCCTTAGAGGCCTGTTTTTTATTTTTTTTTTTTTTTCTCTTTTCCTTTAACTCTTAGGATGAGGGCTTTGCCTCCTGGTCACTGAAGTCTTGCCCTGGGACAGCTGATAAAGCTATTGCTGCAGCTGTTTGGGGCAGGAACAGCCAGACTGCTCACAAAAATCTTAAAAACTGCTGTAATCTGCAAACCAGAGTTTTAAGACAAACTAAAATTAGGAATAAATGCTCAGCCATCTGTGCAGTGAGACACACAAACAGCTAGTGCTAATAATCTCATCAGCTGTTCCAGTAAAAAAATGAAGTTGTGAATCTGTAGTTGTGAATTGCCACTGTTTTAACTATTTGTTCTAAACACTTTACTGATACTTAAGAGTCCTAACATAATCCTTTTAAAAAGAATTCTGCCGTGACAATCTCAATTTCCTTGACTGAGAACATGAATGCAAAAAACCTTCTAGGATCACTTGGTCTTCTGCATTTCTTCTGGCAGTTACTATTTTGTCATCTGTTGGTCCTAGTGGGAAACTCTGAAAGGCTGCAGGCCTCTAGCATGTTTGGACCTAGCAACTCCCCCTCGGGCCTAGCAACTCTCTCAAGAACATCTTMATCTAGAACTTCTTGTTCTCTCACCAGATTTCACATTTAACCATAATAATTTTCATGTTCTTTTCTGTTTTCTTCATTTAAAAGCAAATCCTAGTCTTTCTCACTGTGCAGCTTRATTTTAAGTTTAGTCTGAACCCACACTGAAAGTCTACAGGCTGTTGCATTTTTTTACCCTTTTTATGACTTTTTGGGGAGTAAGCTGCATTATTTTCATGCAGTTCCCCATCTGAAGCACTAATCAAGTTTGCCACAGCTTGCAATGCTAAAACTGATACAGAACAACTCTTTAAAAGCAAGGTGTTTGAACCAGTTCCTGTGTGTTTCTTGGGACCAAATAAAGCAATGTTTCCCCCTGTGGGTTCTTCTCATGACTTAGAGCTCCATGAAGCAGTYGTGAAACTTGCCCATTCTACAAAGGGTGACTCAATTATTCCATTCTTGTGCTTCCTGCCTTTGCAGCTTGTCTGCTCTCCCACAGCACACCGYAGTTACAGCTGCTCTCCTGTTCTGTATTATAATCCAGACATTCTACTTCTATTCTAGGCCTGGGAGTTAAATCTGTACTGCTGGTTGATATAGATGACTTATTTGATACTAATTTGATACCGAGTTTTTTTTAAGGTATAGAACCATTTCTCTGCCTTTTCTGTGTAAACATGAACCTTGCATTAGGTTCTTGTCAAATATCCGAAAAACTTGTAARTATTTTTCCACCATCTTTCTCTAATTTATTTCTTAGATATTAGCATCTGTGCRTAAGCATGTTTTTGTCTGCATATGGTGGGTTTTTTTGGGTGTGCTTTTATTATAGAGGGTTTAGCTTTTGGGTTGCATTCATAAAGTTCAGGTTTTGCCCAAATCTGCCCAACCTTCTATCTGAGGATTAACTTTTAACTGAGGATTTACTATTAAAATGACTCCATCATTCAAGGACTCATGCTCCTCAATGAGCTAAGCCATAGCTGGTATGTTACTAATCCATTTGTGGCTTCAACATACAAAAATATATGCTAATTTACAAAGTCCATTGTTCTGGTTCCACATCACAGCTACTTACCTCACTGACATCAGTTTGTTATGTAAATGCAAAGGAGAACAAACTCAAAATGTTGGAAGATGGTAAAAGACCAACTTTGTAATTTCTTTTTAATAGTTTTGTGAGCAAACTTTACTATCAGTCTACACAACAATTGTGTAATAGTTTTAATAAGACTTTAACAAAGCTAGGTCACTTAACTTTGAATAGTCCCAAATTGACTGTACACAGTATTCCTGTTTAAAAATCCATGTGGAATGTAATTGTGCCTTATAACAAAGGGACAGCATAGTTCCTTGGCATTTAGGGATTTTTGTAAAAGTGAAAACCCCTTGAGAAGAATGAGCATAACACAAACACAAGCAATGCACTGTTTGCCAGCATCTTATCTCTTACGAATCTGTCAAGTAGTAACTATATAATTATCTTGCTTATATGTGAAATAAAGAAGCTGAAGGCATCTTACAACAAACCCATATGTTTTTTCCCCCCTCAACTGTACAGRACACTCAGCTAGAAACCTGTTCATGAAATCCCTATTCCTGAGACTTGAGATTGGTACTGCATGCCACTGTGTTCTGTCTAGTTAAACTAACGTTGCCTTGTCTTTCTAAAAGAAAGAAAATCATCCCACGTTTCTTATAGCTCATTCACTCATCCAGTCACTGCACAGCCTTGACCGTACTTGGCTCATGATTTTCAAAGACTCTGCTATTATTTTACTAGATCCTACAGCACTCAGGAAGTTCTGTGGCAGCTTTATGTTAAGTGGAGGYTTTTACTGAATAAGCTCACACCTGGCTCAACTTCTGGACTTTCCAACTATTACAGAGTAAGCAGGTGTCCAAATACAGCAATACTTGAGTATTAAATACCACTTTTCACTTGTAGATGTTATGACTATTAAAACACTTTCACCTTTTCTCTGTGCTCCAATTTCAAACATTGAAGCGTGTCAGTAAGCAGACTCACCCTCTAGATTTTCCACATAGGAGTTGGACATGAGTGCTGAATGTTGAGTCCATTTCTCTGTTGAACCTGATGGCTGGTATTCCAGGTCAGAGATAAAACTGTCTGTGTCAGAGAAGAAGACAGACATAACTACTGGCTGGACTAAACCAAGAAGTTACAGTTCACTCAACCAGGAAGTGACTTCCACTTTTCTTTTAATAGCACTGACTTCAAGTACCCAGTTTCATTCACCACTACTACATATTTTGATATAAGTAACTATTTAAAGATCATCAGTATGTTTCTAAAAAAACAGTATCAGTTACTTGTATTTAATTACTTTTCAGTTATCAACCAGAGCCATAAAAGGATTAAAAATTTCAGATGCTTATCTAATCATCATGAATTTTATACTATAGAAAGCTCATTTTAATAACTGTGTTAGTTTAGAACATTCACTCTTACAATTTTCTCAAATGCTTCCTTAATAAGGTCCAATCATAAGTGCTCATGCCACTCAATAGCACCTCCACTGATCAAGGTAGGCAAAAGAGTGCTAGCAAATAAAAAATTCTATTTTTATTCTTCTGCCCTTTAAAGAGAGCAAACTGTTGCTGTAAACAGCTGTTAACTTCCCCTTTACTTGCCAAGCTATCTGCGTATTCCCCCAAGGTGCTGATCTGCAGTAAGTGAGGCTACAGTTTAAAGCATCAGAAAACCTGGTATGACTGTGGAATAAGCAGCTCTGCCAGAGAAAGCCCGTGCAAGACTACCAAGGAGGAACTGGAAAAAATGTACTCCACTGACCTGTTTCCTGCAAGGAAAAATTAGGGTGGAATATTGTATTTATTACATTAACAAGAGTATGCTTATTCAGTTGTGATTAGTGAACATGCAGGAGTCACACAAACCTATTATTTTATTGCTTTTAATCAAGGATTCATTGCAAATTTAGTAAACTGTGTTTTAAAGAGTGAGCAGAATTACTCTAGAAACTGGCTAATTTCTGCCTTCTGGATAGAGCCGCACATGCTTTGCCAATATGATTTGCAAGGTGACTCCTGGGAGCCTGAAAAAGGCTATTCTGATTTCCTCCTGAAATTCAGATAGCTCATATTATTTCTTTGGATGATCTCTTAAGATTGCTTAATGTGTAAAATTAAACGTATTTAAATTGGATGTGGAAGGCAGTACCTCAAGTTTGTCAAAGTGTCCACTGCCACTCTGAAGGAACTTAGCAGACAAAGATAATTCTGGTCAAATAGGAGGTGGGTTAAGAGAAGAATACCACTCCAACCACCATGATAGAGCAGGAATGACCAGCAGGAAAGTCATATTTAAAGAATTCAGGGTGATAGGAAGCAAAACACTGAGATGAAATAAATCAACCTTTGTGGACAATAATCCTCTTTCAAGCTCAGGCTTTCAAAGGAGTACACAACATAGTGACATAAGTCAGTGGAGCTAATACATCTTTCTAAGCAGGAGTGTCTGCACTAGGAAGTCTACAAAGGGTTATAACACAGAAAAGAGTTATTTGTCACTTTAGCAAAGAAATATGATTCTGATTTTTTTTTAAATTAGTTTCATACAGGGAGGGATTCTGAGTTACTTGTGGTGTCCTAACAAAGCTGATGACAGTAGTATGCTTTTACTTGTATACACTTCTGACCAAGTATGTTGTATTTAACACATGTAACATCTCCTGTCACCAGCTTCTGRAATAAAGTGTGCACTTGGTTAGGACATACAGTGCTTATCATTTGAGAAACAAAGCAAATAAAGCAGCAGCCTATTAAAGCATACAGTATAGCATAAGGATTTTGTAGTACAACATATAGAGAAGTTAAATACATTAAAACATTCCTTTATGTTATCATTTCATATACATCTGAGAAACGTTCCTTTTTTTTAAACTTCAATTTTCTACACCAGATTTGGGTCAAATGAGTCACATAAAAATTAGAGTGCCATTAAGAATATAGACAGAACAAAGAGCTACTAGACTCCTACCATTTTGAATTGATCAACTTGTTCTTTTGTAGCACAAGCTGCCTAAAACATACCTTGCATATCCTTAAATACTTAGGCATAGAAAATACTAACTGAAAAAGACAAAAGGGCAACTTGCCTTATAGCACAAAATGTGCTGGTTTAAGAASAGTGGATCCCACACTGGAATAATTCATTCCTTGCATGCACCCCTATAGTAGGTAGTACAGTGTAGGTTGGGGGGGCAGTTGTTTAAGTTCTTTGCAATAGGTTGCCAAACAACTATGTGAAATTTCCTGCATCTGCTCCCTAGCTTGGCTAGTACTGCTGTGCCCATCTTGAAAGTATTGTTRTTATTTTTTACAGACCAGCTGACTAAGTTACTGTATTTTACAGATGCAGTTAAGATTAGTAAACCTCAAAGAGCATTATGAGCAGACTGCAGCACAGGCTTCRTTGGATTTCTGCCTTCTTTTGCCACTTACAGATAGAGCTCTATCAGCTGTATTTATATTAAGAATCCCCACAGCTACATCACATTTGTTAGTGCCGTATATTTAGCTTGGTTTTCAACTCCATGCAACCAGCAAGGGATGTAGTGTCAACTTGCACTACGAAAAGGAGGCCAGGCTATAATTATCCCTCAGCCTTCTGTGCCGTGGAGCAGCCAGCCGCGCTCGGCTGGGTCGGGATCACGGGCACATGGYAGCGCCGATTTGCAACTGCCAACGGTCAAGGACACGGGTGGTTGCCTTGAGAGCCATCTCAGACCACCATGAAGCCCTAAGATAGACTCAGTGTTACTAATTTCAGGTTTAATAGCAACTTTAGTCACAAGTACCTTTTAGAAAAATGTTAAAATAAACATTGGTTAAGAGTATGTTTTCCACGGGCACTTAACGTCCACAGATACATAGACATGAGTGACTGTGCCTTGGCAGGACACGTCCTGCAGGTATTTGGTGCAGGAACACAAGACCCTGTTCAAGTCACAGCTACAATATATATCCTATACTGATCTACAGTGGAATCAATATGCCTGCCTCTCTTAAGAAAGGTCTTAACATAGTAGGAAGATAYGGGGCACATGCCGTGCAGGGGAAAGCAGTGCAGAAGTGTCTAAGCACGTTTTGGCCAAGCGTTGCAATGACCTGCCTTCCTCCTCGCCGCTCTGCTCCTTCTGTGAGGATCTGCACCAGGACATACACAYGCCACCCACATTCCTAGAGCATGTTTCTAACCTGTTCTGGTTTTTAAATTTGAATCTTTTGGGGGTGATGCAGCTAGGTGTCCTTATTTTGAATTAGTTAAAAGGTGTTCTAAGATGAAATCCTCACAGAGGCAAACAGCAGGATTCATACATTAGCTCCTCAGATATCTGAAGAATTATCCGAAGTTCTTAAAGCATCAAAAATTCATAAGTGGTCACCTTCTCCACAGCTGTTTTTCCAGTCTCCATTGTGCAACCACAATGAATGACCCCACTAGAAGATACGGTCAGAGGATCCATTACCTCTTGACAACTCAAAATACWCGAGTCTTTTTCTCCTCACTGTTCCACCACCTTTTCCTATTAACCTACTACAAAGTGCCCAGACCTTTCTGTATCTTGCTCATAATTAATATGAATCCACATCTAAAAAAAGCAAACTCCCATTACCTTTCAAAATATTTTCGATTCTGCCTCATCACCTCACTCAACCTCAAGCTCTCACTGCAGGCGTCCACAAGTTTAGAGAAGAATTAGAACCGTACACTGCTTTGTACTGCAGGGTTTGCACTGCTTGATATATATTTAAATATACTGAATACTATGAAAGGAAGAGCTTGAACACAGTTTAAGTAAATTTAGTATTATTTTCTGCTTCCTTTTAGCAGAAAGAATATACAGAGAGCTCAGCAGGCAACACTGGCTGAAGTTCTTGTGCACGGTATGACACTTTGTCCAATGCTTAGGAATAGAGTCCTAACGCTGTCTGAGAAGTACTGGAAGAGGCCTCCCCTCCGCACTGAGCTAGATGCCAGCAGAGCCTGTCTTCTTGAAGACCCTCAATGCTTTGTCTGGTAGAAGGCTGTGCTTTGAAAGAATGATTTGGTAATGCAGAAATTCTGTACATGTAGAGAGAATACAAGGTATAGTCACTCCGAATACACTTGCAGTATGTACTACCATGATGGAAGCCTAAAAAATTAAATGGATTTCCACAAATCTTCTAGCARAGATCAGAATCATCTCTGGGCATCAAACAAGAGAATCTGTCCCCTAGAGAGATCACAGAACTATTAGAAATGAATACAAATGGCTYCAAACTCTACATGGAATGAGTCTGACAAAGCAGACATCGCTCTACATACGCAAAACTATTAAAGGATTTCTAGTTATGATTTGAATAAATCCACATACTGGATTTTCTAATCTCCAGCCTCACATAAAACAGATGCAATGAGTAACAGAATGAAAGGGGATTAGCAGATGATCCTTATTTGCTGAATATAACCCTTTTTATATTCTTATATTCTCCTTATATATTCTATTCTTATATATTATTCTTATATCAATATAACATTCATATAATACCTTAAAAATAGTTAAATATCGCTATATTGTTAGAAATCTCTCCACTGCAGGAAGCCATGAGTGCCAATGTAAACTCACTTCTAATGGCAAAATTCAAGAGCTTAAGTTTTAAAACAGATTTAAATCAAAACTTGACAGTAGGGCAGGCAAGTCCCCATACTAGGATCACTTTTCAAGAACAGAGAATAAAACAGGGACTTATCTTTCAGGCAAACAGATCTAGTCTAACTTTGACTAGCTCTTTTTCAAGTGGGGAAAAGAGCTGCTTGTTTCTGGTCATTTCAGGCTTCCTATTTGCTCCTCATCACAGGCCTAACTGTTCCCTTGTCTCTACAGRGAAATGCTGGCCTGGAGGTGGGCTGAGGACAGACCTGTTGGAAGGCTGTAAAAGGAAATAGCAGGTCTAACATAGGAGACATTGGAGGAGAAAAGCGAAGGGAGGGAACAAACAGAGAAAAGCTGCTGCTTTTATGCAGTTCCAATCCAAACATGCAGCAGCCTGCACAGACTACCAAAAGTCCTAAGCAGAAAGAGCACTGTTTTCAGATTTTCAAGTACTGTTTCCAAATTTTCAAGTACTGTTTCCTTTTAAGGACTATTCTACAACTTGCTTTGAAATTGTGTGGTGTTTCTACTATTCTAATGTGATATCTAGACTCTCGTACATTTTGAATCCTTGCTTCTTCCGAGTGATTTAGAAAATGTTCTTGTAGGAAACAAGGATCATGGAGGGGGTGAGGAAGAGTCAAACAAAAAATATTCTGCCTAGTAATGGGCAAACTAATAAAAATTACATAAAAATAATAGTCCCGTCAGTGGCAAACACATTTGATCTGTAGAAAAGGCAGAGCTGTAAATGGTGTATCTAGATGTGTTGCACCTTCCAGGAGATGCTGGAATAACAGCTACTCCAGCTTGAGCCAAGTTGATGCAGCTTTGTAGATCTGTATCAAATGGCAGATATTTTTTTTTCCTCCTTTTCTTTTATCATTTTTGCTTTGTTTCTGCTTTGYTCTGTTTTTGATATGTTTTGAAGAAAGTCTGAATGTTAGCTGAAGAAATACTAAAATTAGTTTTAAGGCTCTTGCTTAAAAGAATGTATGCCATCTGAAAACTTTTCCTTTGCAGAAACAGTCTGCCCTCTGCAAACCACATTGAGAAGGTTGTAGGGTTCCAGGCCCTAGCAAAGCGGCTATTTACACCTACATGTTATCTTTACTATTTGCACTGTTTGTCCTACCAAAAAAAAAAAAGTGAACTCTATAGATAGCATCTATATCTGCAAGGAACTGTCCTTGTGCCTTCGCAGCTTAGGAGGAGCTTTCAGTACTGGGGGCTTGTGCTAAATGCATGGTTGGGACAGTATGTATTGAAAAAAGAATTATCACTGCTACGGACAATTTAAATAGCTGCTAAATGCTACTTAATAAAAACAGATCTATTCAGTGCAAGAAATACCACCTAAATTTAAATTATTTGGAAGAAACAAAGCATAACACACGCAAATGCCCTCCCCCACGAATTTACTTACTTTATGGACTAGACAGCATCAGGCAACATTGAAACCCAAAGCTAACCATATGGTTAACAAATAATAGTTCTAATTAATTTAGAGAGTTTTCCATCAGGACTGTGCATAATTAGGGGAGGGGGAAGTCATTCTAGTCCCCAGCTTATATGGTTTTATAACACTACACAGGCCTACRGAACATAAGTTTGCAAGTTCTTCCACCCTTTTAGAAATATCATTTATATAATTATTCTTTACAGTTTTAGTTTCTAGAAGGAGCTTATTTGAGTGCTAGACTAGACTTCTACTCAAGGGTTTTTTGTTGGGAAAGAGAATGCCTCCCAAGCTGATTTGGAAAGAGGGCACTTGAAATGTTTTGATGCTATCGGAGTTTCTTGTTTTTGAACTGCTGACTTATATTTCAGTGGCACATGATTTAAAAATCATTTAATTGGATTTGCCTTTGTATTGTTTTGAGAGAAGACTGTATTCCTTAATTGGTAACCTTCATAAGACTACTTTGCAATTAAATATAGCTTTCCCCATCTGCTATACTTGCTGGGAGTAATGCATCATTACTATTACAATTACACATTTAGGCATGCACTTAATATTTGATGTTGCAGCTTTTTTTTTTTTTTAATATAGTTTTGCTATTTGTGTTTACTTCTATTTGTATGGCAACTGAAATACAATTATATGCTAAAGCAGAAAAGTATTCCTGCCTAACCATGTTTGCATTAAGCAGAGGAAGTATTTATTCACAGTGCGAGAATTGAACAGCCTGTTTCTGGTCACTATGCCCTTCAAGATTTTTGGAACAGCAGATTCCAGCCGAGACACCTAATTTGGATTTGCAGGTTGGAAAAGCAGAAATAAGATTTCCTGCCTCTCAGATTCCAAGTTTTGAATGAATCAATCATTGAATGATGGTAATATTAAACTGTAACTGAGATAGTCTCCCTGCTTGCAAATGCACAGCTGTTTGCCAAGGGCTTGTTTATTGTTATCAGACTTTCTTTAAACTTCTTTAGCAAGCATTATTTAAAGAAATTCATTATTTATAAAGCCTTTGGCAAGTGCTCTGCATATTGATTATATTCCACTAAATTATTAGCAAGCRGCAACTCTTAATTTCTCCAGTGTCATCATCAGTTTTTCTTGTAATTTGAGGCATAATATGCACAGACACAGCTCAGTAATTTCATTACTCTAGGCAACAAAAATGGTTTCTAAAACAAGTAATGTTTGGGATATAGAAAACAGAAGTTGGTTTTTTTAAACCGTGTATTCATTTTCATTTCTGAACAAGCACAAGCAAAATGCTAGACTACTAATAAATGCTAAACACTTGCCTATATTACAACGGTTCTGCTACAGTGCTTAGATGTATCTGTTTATTTCTATGACTTTGTACATGTGGAGAGGCGTGGGATGAAAAATTGATGGCGTCTAACACCACTCTCTTGAAACATCAGATTTTTTTCTCACTCACATGGGAGTGAGAAATCTTTCTACTGCTGTTCAACTGTTTCATAAAGTCTTCTCTTCTCCCTTCATCCCTTGTCCTTTGATGGAATCAGTTTCTTTCCTCCTTTCTAGATTAAACAACTTGAGTTATAAACAATGTTTCTGAAACAGAACATTATTTTAAAAGGGGTGGGCGTTTTATTGATTATAAATACATATATATTTCATTTTCACTCATTTTTACCTAGAATGCTGTATGAAGGCATTTCTTTCTCCAAATTTTCTTACTAGTGGCAGCAAATCAAAAGAGCACAGGTCCATTTATGATTAAAGAGTTATGGCTTCTATAGAAAATAAGTGCAGGTCAGCTCCCCATTATCACTAGCATCCAYCTCTGATCTACCCTTGAATGCCAGGCCCTCTGTTTTTCACCCTTCTTCACTTGACATGCTCCTCAAGCTTCTCATCTATACCTCAAAGACACTGACTTTACAGTTCTGGTATCTCTTAAATTTTTTTTGCTCAGTAGTTTTTCAAACATTTTTCCTAGTATTTTACACAGGGAGTATTATAGCCTGAATTCCAAAATTCTACACCACTAGAATTTCCTCCACTGTTCTCCTTACTTTGTTTTTGTTAAAGTGGGTTGCTCAAAAAGCTAGCCAGAGTGGCAAGGAGAAAGCAAACAATTGCTGTGAGCAGAGGTGTTGAATGATGGCAGCATTTCCACAGAATGTCCGAGAAGAGCCCAGGACAGCGCCAAACACAGGGGACTGGGGAGGTAGTGAAAACAAGACTAGCTTGCCCTTCCAAAGTAGGACAACTCAAGGAAACAAAACTCCAAAGCATATTTGTCTAATTCGGATATATTTTTATGACTTTATATGGCTTTCACTCAAATATACCAACAGAATCAGAAGTTTCAAAGTAATTCCTTGTACAGAAATAAGGTGTCAGTATGGAGGAGCTAATCCTCAAGCTTTATTCCAGGACTTGTATAAACAAATCTTATTGAAATGTCTGAACTGTGTAACTATTTATATCTCATATTATTAGTTTAAGCCCCTTTGGACATAAATATGACTGCGCATTTTGAAGTTACATATTTACTTCTATAAAGAGGAGGGTGGTCTTTAAATAAAAGTCTACCTTGTGGCTTACTGCAGGTTATACCCCAGTACTAAAAACATTATATGCACTTACCATCATCAAGCGTGATGTCCTGTAGTCCTATCGTTTGAAAATTCAATTCTCGATCTTCGGGTTCGGGCTTAATGTTAATAGCTGCCCCGTCTGGTGCAAAGGGAGATGAATCGCACACGCCGTGGTGCGGCAGGGCCGCGGCGGGCGCGTGGCCGCCCAGCGCGGGGCTGGGCGCCTGCGGCGAGCGCTGCCCCGAGGGACCCACGGTGGCCGGCGGGGGAGAGGAGGCAGGTCCTGAGCTGGGAGACTGATAAGGCAGAGGCTGGAGCTGGGGGGAAGATGGTCCGGACAGCGGCGAGTGGACCAAAGGATGGGAAGCTGTTGGGGAGGGGGATGAAGTGGAGGCTGGGTTTGAAGAATGGTATGGGACTTGCTGGAGCTGGGGAGAAGACGGCCCAAGGGATCGACTCATGGTGGAAGAGATGGAGCCCTGGCCAGAGCTGGGGCAGTGGTAGCCGATCGACGGTAGGCGGGACGACGACTGTCCTGAATGAGCTGCGTGTCCGAGCGGGTGCCCGGCTGTACTCGCTGTTGACACCGAACCTGGGTTTGAAGAATGGAACTGCATTGGTGGGAGAGCCTGGCAGCTAAGATTTATCAAGTGAGGTACGGGTGCATCTTGCTGAAAGGAAATACCATCAAATCCTTGGCTGGAGGCAGAGTTCATAGGAAGACCAGACTGTCCACTGTATACATCATTAGACTGCATAGACTGGTAGGAAGGCCTCACGGGAGGTGCTGATGTTACCTGAAAAGACTGAACCACAGCAGGAGGCAAAACATGACACTCTTCACTGGGACTAAGGTTTCTACCTTGCATATGTGACAGGTGGGACACTGCTGAGGTCACCATTGCAGTGTAAGGGGGTTGCACTGGACAAACAAGGCTCCTGGGTGAGGTGGACAGTAAACCATCATGGGGATGCCCTTGATCTGGTGATGGCAACGGACTTCTCATAGCGTGTAGGCCCTGAACRCTGCCTGTGTGGGGCAGGCTCAACGATGGGACAGCAGACAAATCCACCTCATCTCTGTGCTCTTGTTTCATTATAACTAGAAAGAAAAACAATATATTACAATTCCTTATTTTGATCCGGCAATAAATACAAATAAATYGCTGATTAACAGCCACAGTAGTATTGTTAACATAAATGCTCCAATTTCCCTTTCCATTTCACTCTGTCTTTATCTTCTTGCCTTTTTTGCCAAGCTAATCCTTAAAACCCAGGAGAATCTTCCTTCAAAGACATTGGTTTTCCCCTCTAAATGACCCTCCTCAGGCACTTTTGTTTTTGAAAGGCATTATCCACCCAACCTGAGAAAGTCCAGTACATCACTGARGTATGCAACTTATTACATAAAAAGAGGGTCACTAAAGTATATAGCTTATTAAATGTGTTCATTGCTGCTGGGTGCCAAATGAAACTCCTAGTATTTAAACTGTCATGTCCCAATCAAGATGACAACTGAACTTCAACACAGTTATGCAGGTTTGATGAGTCTCTGTTGTTTCGATTACAACAGTTGTTAATAACACTGAAGTGATGGCAATACCTCTTCTTGTAATGTGAARAATTATGAATAGGCACATTTGGTTGTTATGGAAGTCGTAGTTACAGTTAATCTCATGAAATGGTGTGACTTTTAAGCACTAGAGAAATGCAAAAAGTTTTAAACTAAATGCTAACAACTTCACTACTTTAACATCCTTACAGTCCTTCACGTTTATACAACAGGTAACTAGATACTTCTGTGCTTTATTTATACCATGTGCTATATTAGAATAGGACAAGCAAGAAAAACAAACTTAAACAGTACAGCTTAATGGAAGCTGATTTTGTCAGTATACAACCTAGCTTTAAAAGGTATTTATKAATATTCATATCTGTCTTTAAATGTCAAGTTCTCCAACCAATACTCAAGAGCCTAGCTCCATCATTAATACTTTATGAAGGTGACTGCTCTAAATAGGTGTGCATTTTTTAATAGGAAATAGGTGGCAGGCAAAGGAGTCGGCACTGGATATGTAGTAGTATCTGTGTCCTCATACCAAATGTAAGGAAACTAAACTTATTAGTTTACAATCTGTACAATATGTGTTTATGGCCAAATTCCAAGCTATGTTCTCTCAACATGCTGCGGCGTGTACAGAGAAAACAATTTTTTTTGTTGTCTTCATATTTAAAATTACTTTATGAGGGAAGGCAGAGGGTAGTTTGTGGGGAAGAAAATATTTAATACCCCATAATAATCATTCCTTTATGAACTTGCTGTAGTCCATACCCYCACTTGAGATGTTTAGAAGAATAACTTCTGTAATTTATCATCATTCYCACAGGAAGGCAAGTTATTTCATAAAACATGTAACCAAGGAATAGCTGGTTATGTTCATAACAGTATATATTACTCTAAAATTTGAATTTTTTCTTCAGAGATATTTACAGATTTACTGAACAAATTTACACATTACTCAAAAGATAGTCTTACCTACCTGTCAAAGTTATAAAATCATTTGAATTACTTTTGAAAGACTATTTTAAAAAAACAAAATAAAATTCAGGAATTTGATATTAATTAATACCTGGTGTGTAAGTAAAACGTTGAGACTGGCTTTTTTTCCTCTTGCCATTGCAGAGATAAAACTGCACCTGAACTGCAGCTGTAATAGTTTTGTTATGGTATGGAGGAATCTCAAGAACGATGTTTGCCTATATGAAGGTTGAAACAAAGAAAGCTTTACATATTAAGTATAAGCGAAACCACTATTAGTTACAGGAGAATTAAAATACTTCCTGCAAGACTAAGGCAAGTTGATATTTTGAAAAAGATAAGCTTCAAGTTTATACATATATTATTTAATCAAATAGTACTAAAATAAACATCTATTTGGAGACTTTCTTTTTTTTGAATAAACACGAACGTTCTAGGAATAATGCTTTTAATTAAACAAATCTTTTARATGCATCTATTTATTTCTCACAGCATATATAAACTCCAGGAGTCCCAGAATTGCATTTCAAAACAGTAATATTATAAGAACAATTCTAACTCATTGGCAATGATTTCTCATCTTTGCAAATTATCTTCAATTTTCTGCTTTCAATTTYCAAACAAGCGTGCACTATTTGCAGTTCCTTCAAAGTATCATTTCAATGGCTGCTTTATAGTATTAATTCAATTAAGAAGTCTCCAGTTGCCTGTCTATATTTGCCAATGATCTGCTTTACTAAACGATGTCTAAGCTTTAGAACAAAGACAACTAGTTTCTCAGTTTAAAACATAAAGCTTTCTAAAGAAAGAAAAATTAAATTTCTCACCCCTTGACACTTTTCCCTAATTATTTTCCCTTCTACCTCCCACTGAGGTCGGCCATCTGTTGAGAGAAATTTACAAATAATTGAAGCAAAATGTATTTTCTGGAATACTKACATATCTAAAACTGCATTTAAATTCAGTCATAAAGTAGTAGTTTGGGGAAAGGATTCTGCAAAGATTTAACTCCAGAGGAGATACTACGTAGTACAAAATACTTGGGTGGATTTTTTTTCCCTTTTTTTCCCTAAGGTTACTAATATTTCTTTATTGAAACAAATATGCTAAAGATTTACAAGTCAGCAAGCAAGASAACACACATACATTGTACCTTCATGTATGGAGCCCCACATTATATATTTAAACAACACCCTCCTCCTCGAATCCTGAGCCCAAACACCCTGCAGCACCTTACAACTCCAGTGCAAGGTGCTTGTGTCAGAAGGGAAGTGCTTCTCCCTGGGGAGAAGCTCTCCTGCCTCTGATCTGGCACGATCCTGAATCCAGGTTGGCTTTTGTGCAAGCTACCAGGGAATATATTGTCTAGCTCCAGCACTTCTTCGTGAGAGGGTCCAGTTAGGTGTAGCAAAATACATTATATAAAACAAATAAGCATTTCAAGGAGGAGTAACATACAAGTTCATCTGCTCTGCTTCAACTACTCCACAGAGAGCACATTTCAATATAACACGGGTGATGTTTGTCAATTTGACAGCTAAGTTGCTTCTGCGAAGTAGCAACTATAATGATCTTATATTATCAATTTACTTATTCCTGTACGCAGAGATTAATTTCTCTGCATTAATCTGTACTCACAGATTAATTTCTCACATAACCCTCTCCAGATTTTGTTTGTTTTTAACATATCCTATCTGGGGCTTGTCTCATCTAGGAAGCTTTTTGTTAAACCCTTTAAAATCTGTTTTGCTTCATTTAAAAAAAAAAAAAGGTTATTCAAAACCAGGAACATTTTGGAAAGTGTTGCAAAGGTTCCTAACTATTATCATAGTTGCTATAGTTTGCATATATAGGTTTGACTCCCTGTTACTTAAAGATGTTATTGTTCAAATTAAGATTTTTATTCAAGAGATGTAGTCAGTATCTGTTGAAATAGTAAATAATGCTAGGTAAATCAAAATTCTCAAGTTGAATTTCAYGAAAAACACTTAAAGTAGAAATAAATGTTAACTATTAATCAAGATACTTATCCTAAAGAGCTACAGGACTAGGAAGTAATTCTGAACTAATTAATATCTTTAAATAATACATGAAGGGATGTGTACATATGTAAATTTATTACAAAACCATGACAAAAATATGTGCAAAACACTTGATTGCATCCAGGTATGATAAATGAAAAGTCAAAAATATTTTTGGCTATTAAATTCTCCAGGGTGGGACACGACAGAACAGAGCAAAAACAGAAGTTAGGGAAAAACCCCGAAATCTAAGAAAACCAAACCCTTCTGGCTGCACTTATATTTAAAGAAAGATGCTTTAGAAATATTCAGCCRAAGTCTGAAACTGCTCGCACACTTCTACTTCCTAGACATTAAGCTGAAAATTCCATCCACTAACCATCCAAAATCTAACATTTTTCTCCTCAGGAGATCAGTAGGAAGCTGTCAGATTTTTCTGAAAATGTGAATGCAAGAAAGAAACAAAATGTTTGCTGTATACCTTAAGTGAAAGGCATGACTGCAATACACACACACACACACACACACACACACACATTTACTAAACTTTGATTTAGAAGGGCGAACCTGCTGCAGTTCTCTTCTATGACTGAATGACATTCAAAATACTGAATGAAGCTGGTCAACTGGCTACAACATCTCTCATTTCTTAGCACTTGAGTACATGAATGGCTCAAAGTATGTTTACATAGGATTTATTTCATTAGCTTAGGAGTAAGTCGGTTCTTTTGCAACCTTGTCATCAGTTCACATGCTAACTTGCCTTTTTTTTTTGTAGCAAGGAGCAGTTAGATGATATGACCTGTCAGTAACATTTTTTAATATTTACAATTTCAAGTTTGCCATAAACTGGTTAGTCTGTGGCTGCCTTCCTAATTTAGAAGTACGACATTCATTAATAACCATCAACCAGGACACAGATCTGTGCTCACACTGAATTTTCAGACCACTAATCACGATATTYTCATTTTTTAAACATCGTCAAACTCATGTAGTTTTATTTTTGTTTTATTTTTAAGGAAAAGAGTAAAGTATTTACCTTGCCCTTTTTCAAAGAAGATAATTTTGGATTCTGGAAGAAAATTGGATCCTGTCACCACCATTTCATGGCCTCCATTTACCGAGCAACTGTTGATACTGTACTTCTCAATCTGAGGAAGTTCTTGAGCAGATCGCTGAGCTTTAAGGAAAAAATTGTAAGGAAAAATAATTATTCATGATTTAAACCCATAGTGGCATTTCTCTTATGATTTTAACCAGAAGAATCCTAAGTAAAACTAAAAAAGTTATCTGTTTGCAGATATAAACCATACTTGTATACCAATTATTTTTGGAGTTAAATTTTGGAAAAGAATTCCAAGGCAGAATGAAACCCAARGAGAGGAAAAATATCTTCATTTAAAAGTCACTGCATTATTACAGAGACAAAACAAGYTCAAGGGGAAACTGTTTAAGATCGTGTTTTGATTCTTTACTGCCAATATTTACTAAATCTTGCAAATAAATTTATTTTCACTARGATCTATCAGCTACCTCTCCTTATCTACAGAAAAATACAGAAGAGTTACATGTTAGGTTTATTARTAATAGCTTTGCAGTCTAGAGAATTACACAACTCCTCCCAACTTACAGGTTATCACTCGGCAAGCACCAACTTCATTTTTTTGGTAATTTAGTTTTTTACTTACAAAACTRCTTTATAGAGACACAGGGGAAAAAACAATAAAACATTACGAGTATAAATACATATAGCTGAAGCAATCTTACAGCATTCAACAGGTATGGAAGCAGTCTGAAGAGACAAGACTTTTCCACTAGGTTGCGGGATGTGGACGCGAAACACAAGCCGCACCCTGGTGTTCTTCCTCCCAATATCTGTCTCTCCTTTACGGAGCTCGATGTCAGAATTGCGGAGCTTCAGAATTCCTGCACAATCGATACTGCAGGTGGAAAGGAAGGACAGATTAAGAAAAGAGATGGGAGAAAAAAATGTTATTGACAGAAGATATTCTATAAACTTTGCCTATGTTAACTAAGGAAGAACGGTCCATTGTCTCCCATATATTGCTATTTTCAATGTCTGAAGCCAGATGTCAGTCTCAAAAATGGCAAGTTTTCTGCTGAAATAGTGTCTCGGAACCATCTAGTTGCTTCTTTTTTGAACCTTGGAAAGGTTATGTATTCCTGCACTAAACTACCTGCTGCTAAACATTTGGACTAMGTTAGTTAACGGAGTAAACAAAGTACAAGAAACAGGAGATCTATATTCTCCTTAAGATGGGCTACAGAATGAAAAAGTGACAACTGTCAAATCCTCCCCATGATTCTGGAATGCCAGAGCCACAGGGTCACAGATTACTTGTAGGAGCCACAAACACTTGAATGAATGAACATGGACCAGCCTCTGAGGTGCCTATCACTCTCAGTGCACACATTCAGGAGAACTAGCACCAAGTGTGTAACTTTGGGGAAGTYTGAACTGGTTTCATCAGAAGATGCAGTAGGAAATATGAAAGCTCAGTCAGCTTCGTTGTTATGCTTTGCATGGCTCACCCTGGGCAGAACGCTAAGTAGTTTCATTGTTTCAGTAGGGTACATCATATTATTTTTTAGTATATTCTATCTGGCAAAAGCTAAATGTCAGAATAACACAACTGCTAAAAATAAAACAAAGAAAAAAGGAAAGGAAAATCAAAGCGAAAAAGGCAGGATACAAGAAATGAAAACAACCACATTCAATAAAGAGTTAAGCAACAAGCAATTAAAACACTACATAACTATACATACAAGCTATATGTCATTGTAAAAATGAACAAACTCCTACCCTCAACAAGCCAGTAATAACCCACATGCAGCTCCACAACTGCAGCAGAGAAAGGTTTAATTCCCAAAGGCCTCGTCCATCCCCCCTAAGCAATGTCTCCCTGTCAAGTTCTCCTTTGCTGCTGGCTGCCCAGGACTGACTCTGGAACACCAGCACATTTAAAGAGAAGGGTCTAACACAACCACGAGTTACACTGGGGGAAAAGCTGAAGTCATAAAATTATCATTTTATTGATATTGATATTGACACATATAGGGGAACTAAACAGCTCATTCAAGCCTTATGTTGCAATGTACCTGGCTGACATGTTGTTTTCAGGAAGAAGTGGAATTTCCAAGACTTTCGTGCTGGCAATGATGATCTCTTGACTAGCTGTAGCGACTGTTTTTCCAGTGATTCGGTGCACCTGGTAGAACGCGTGAGGCCGTAGGTAGCGATCGTCTGCTGTGCCGATGAACATCTGTAGGTTTACTGGCTTTTCATTGTAGCCTAGGAGCTGATGAAAAAGTAGATATCACAATAAAATATTAGCTGATTTTTACTGCACTTAMATGAGCCATAACCTAAATACACAATTGTAAGCACTGAAGAGTGAAAGAATCGTATTAGACTACATCAAACTTCTCCAATCCCTTGTATTTCCTCCAAAGTTGAAGGAGGACAAGCAGATAGCTGTCCTCCAAGACAGATCATCAGCAACATTTATCATAACAAATGAATGTCAAAGCATCTTTATTCCTTTTGAGTTTTTCATACACAAAAGAATCATTCTATCCACAGAATTTAAGGCTATGCTGTGCTTTGGCTGCATTTTTATTTGCTTTGATTCATAGCAGTTACCTATTTTAGCAAGTACCACCTAACTTCCAAGGTTAACTTGTCTATTATAGCATGCCTACGTGAGCTTGTTGGACTTGAGGGGGCTCATAAATGCAAAAATATTTTGTTAAGACAAGAAAAAATTAAACTGTATCTAGAAAATCAACTACAGTTTATTTCTGGCAAAGAAAACATTTGAAGGAGGGGAAAAAAACCCACACTGATAACTGTAACATTAATGCACAAGCCTTTCCTTTACTCAAGTATGTGACTACCCAATTCCCTCTGCTCAGTTTGTCTAAAAATCTCCCCAAAAAACAAAACCCAAGAACTTGTTGCTATACTTGAACTAACATTCAACAGTAAGATAATTATCCAGAGAATTTAAGGAAAGAAATCTAACCAACACTAACGCACACATTTCCCTTAACCTCTGCTATATTGAATGCCTATTTAACATGAAGTATTAACTCCCCCTCCTGATAAGACTGATGCACATCACAAGAAAAATCATCTTTGAAAGCAAGTCTACACATCACCTGCTTCAGCATTGACATATTACAACCGTAGCAAGGGCCAGAAAGTCATTCCCGACAGTTTTTTTTTTTTTTTTTTTTTTTAAATCTTGACTTCATTATTACTTTCAAGAGCTATTTGGTCACACAGCAAATTAAGCTCTTTACAGAACTAACACTTAAGGAAATAAATAAACAAAAGCCACATCAAGTTTAACGAGGTTACAAGAATAACCTGAGCAGTCAAAGTCACCAGGCAGCTGTACAACAACTCCGAAGCAGCCCAAAAACAGGGATCACGAGCACCCCTAGATCTTGAGGGAAACAAGTTTTATGTATACCAAAAGCAGTTCTCTTTCCCATTTATAAGCTATGGCTCCAACAGCACCTAGCAGTCTCATAATTTTTGTAGATCTTTCTCAGTCAAAGAGAACAGCTCAGATTCTGCCTGAAACCTAGAGCTTTAAAGAGCTCCCTACCCTCTCCACCATACTCTGCAACTACCTTTTTTCCCCCCAAAGATGCAATCCTCATGAATTCACCTATCCAGCTACACGAGCCTGGTCACATTTCCTTGCCCTTAACTTGAGGCACAGCTTCTTTCACTGCTGTTAAAAGTGATTGAGAAGCAGAACAGCAAGATCACTCAAGACCGCCAAAATTGAAGTTCTGCCAAAAATAAATAAAATTTCTCCCTTCGTGCCTCAGTATTCTACACATGCTCAACTGAAAAAAAATTCCATAGAAAACCTCCAAAGGAGCTGCATCTCCTGCAGATGTAACTACTATTGGGCAGCAACGTACTTATCTAGAACAGCTGAGACAAAACCATGCTGGATCTAATGTATTATTTCTGTTGCAATTACAGCATTGAAATTTACTCCAAAATAATTTTCCCATTCTTCCACCTTCTTAGAGTAGGAAGCTCCTCGAGGTCCCACAAGCACCATGTTCCTGAAGTTCCTTCCAGCAGCGGACTGAAAGGTAAGCAATCAGTAGTGTTATCTCTACATATCTCAGCATTGCCCCGTCAGCAGCGCAGGCTGCGCTGCCTGTTGGGGTCCGTGACCGCGCTCAGCACTTGGCTTGCTCCGAGTGTTCCTACACCGCTATCTTGCTTCTGCTGTTCTTGATTACAGAGTAACCCTCTACACTCCCTCTTCTTCTAGAAAAGTCAGAGCATAACTGAGGAGAGAGGTGGCATCTCCTCAAAGCATAGCTGGGTTTTAATTGCATTTCTAGATTATTGGTGGCCGTGGTCTAACATTTAGATTACGAAGATATCAGCTGTAGAGCTATAATTACGGCTGAGAGCTGTTTTGCATGTAAAGCATAAGTTTCCTTTTATTATGGACTAAAAATATGTTTTCTCTCTTATTTTTAGGCTTGCAGCGTGGTTCCRGATAGCAGCAGGGCAACCCGTGCGCGGCAGGGTGGGCACCTCGCGCCGTCCCCCCCGCGGGCCAGGAACGGCAGYGGCTCTGTCAGGAGGAGCTGCACGCAAGGACCAGGGTCACGCACGTGCCTTCCTGCCCCAAGAGCCGCTGTAAACCAAGAGGTCTGGGACTCCACTACCACCACCAGCTTTCTAAAGGCCTTTGCTGCTTTGAAGCCACAACCAACAGTCTCAACAATTAATCAGCACAGCAGAACCACCCTGCACGTGGCTTCATCCACTCAGAACAGAATCTTAAGTTACTGCTTGAGCGCAGGTCTATTTCCACACAGACCTTGCAGCATGATTCCAGTAGCACAACCAGCATCTCAGAGCCGCACTCTGCATTTTTCAAACGGCGTTTTTCTTTAAAGAGATCCCACTTTCCCAAGAGCRGCGAGCGCTGCTGCGCCCCGTCACTCCTGACCTCCAGAAACCCTCCTCTGTAACAGAATCCTGACACACCACCCACTGCTCTGCAGAGGAAACTCCGCCAAGTTGTTTTGGTGTTTCTATACCGTTTCCATAGCAAAGGTCAGTGCGTGCGTAAGTTAAACTGAAGCTGGAAGGCTGAAGCCTGAAGGTCACTACAGGATAAGCCAGGGGAGCCGCGCGCCAGGCGGGCCCCGCGTTACTACGACACTAACCCGTGCGCGGCCGTCCTCCGCTTACAACTCCTACCAAGCAACTACAAAGGCTGCAAGTTAAGAGCAGAGAGCCTTGTATCAACAAGAAGGTAACATATTACAGAAACGGCATTCCCAGGGAACGTATGGAAAAACCTTAAGAAAAAAGTTTAACACTAGAGACTCCATGGATTAATTGGACTACTGCAGAGAGCGGCTATTAACTGGGGTGTTGGTGGCAGCAATGAGAAACCTTCTTCTTTCTGAGGGAAGGAAGTTGGTCACACTAAATAAGAAACATTAACCTGGAAAAAAAAGAAGTTACTGTTTTTCCACAGGTTGCATGAAGATTTTATTGGGGCCCTATCTTGCTCACAAGTCATCATTTCCACACTCTGATCTCTGATAAAGGAAGCCTTGCAACACCCCGCCAGCCTGGCAGAAGGCTTTTTTTAGTCATTCATATTTAGAAGTTTTACTTCCTATTTCTTTTTYCTTTTTTCAACTGAGAAGGTTCGTGTGTGTGTTGCTGTATGCCAAAAATCTTTTCAAGCTCAGATGGTATTTATTCACAAGACRTGATTTTGGAAGAGATATGGCTTCAGATGAATATTCAACAAGAAAACACTTTTCAGAGAAAATAGGTGAAATACTTATCAGAGAGTAAACATACTTTGAAGTAGCCTATTTTTCAGAAAATACAAACAATACATTAAAAGTCCTTCTTAAACAATTTAGACAGTGCCAAAAAGCATTTGATTGTATTTGAAAAGCAATTTTCCTGACAGCTTTCCAGCAATCATTATGAAATTGCCATATTTAAACCAGACTTTCACTTAACATTTGTCTTTTATCTTTGATACACATTTCCTTTGCTGCTAATTGAAGACAAAGATTCTTCTGACACTTAAACCCTCCTCTCTCTCCCCAGTTAAGTCACTGCTTACAGCAATCCCGGCCTCCTAAATTGGGCTGATGAGGGAGGCTCCAAGGATAAAAACTGTGTTAAATGAGCAGAAGACCAAATTAATAGGCTGGAGATTCACCAAATGTACCAGTATCCAGGGGGCACGTGGAAATCTCAGTTCAGGCACAGGAAGGGAAGAAATGCATGCAGACTAGAGAGCACTGCAAGCACTTCAAATGCAGTTTTCCTACTTTTTTTTTTTTAAAGTAGCATTTTTTTTGAAGTAGCATTAACTACATTTCCCACAGGGGGAAAAAGAAAAATCAGTTAAGTTTTTCGYTCACTTTTAAACAGGTCTTTTGCAAATCAACCTACTAAATCTAACAAAAGTAACACGATAAAGGAAAAAACAAAACAAATCAACCTTTGAGATGTTTTCCCACTGACACAACACAGATGTGACCCACAAACTGTCAATCTTGTGCCCAAGAGGAACCTGTGCCTGGTTTTGCAGAACCCCAATTCTTTCTTCAGACATTTCTGCTGATATATTTTAGAGTGGTTTGCAGCTACTTTCCTACCATGTTGCAAAGGGTRCTCTTCAAAAACCTGAGGGATTAGTTCACCAGGCACCCCTATTAACAACAGCYAGGGGATAAAAGCCAGCGATGGGCAAGATGTAGAGGTCTGGAGCTGGACCTAAGCTGAAAGCAGCAAAGTGGCACGCGGTGACTAACGCTGGTGCTGCCACTTACCGTAAAGTTACAGCGGGGCAGTTGGGAAAGCGAAGCTTCAGCTAAAACAAGAATGAGAATTCAGGGAAGTTTGAGAGGCAGACTGACCTCAGTCATCCCGTGGGGCTTTACTGAGGTGCAACGAGTGCTGGCCCGTGACCTCCCATGAGAGAATCCAAGAGACTGGGGAAGTCACTGGAAGAAAATTCCACTCAGCGCTMCTGGGCAGTCCCCTGCCACCACTGCTTCCAGGCCTGGAATCTGCTTTATTCTGATTCCACAAAGGTCTTAATATTACAAAAAAATCTTAAAAACTCTAATTTAAAAATAAAGATGTTAAATCAAACAAAAACATGTATTTCTCAGCCTTAAGCGTGGCACTGTCTTTTGCCTCTCAATTATCTCATGCAGCTTTTCCTCTCGAACTGAGAAGAAAGAGAATCTACATTAAAAGGTATCCCCCCTCTTTTGCTATTAAGTTCTTGAGTAAAGTATCTCAGAGACAATAATACAGACCTTTGTAAATGTGAACTAAAAACAAAAGGGAAACATATAAAACAAATGCTAATGAACTATTAGACACAATGGCACAAGCCCAATTGCGAAATCCTTTTAAAGGTCATCTTGAAGACAAATAAATCCTGAAAAGGACCAAAGCAAACACAAAATTGCTAATATCAGTGTATCACTGGTCACAATTCCATATGATTAATTCTGAACCTGGATTTCTATTTTTGAAATCCCCCTCTCTCATAGCAATGTTCACTGCTTGCAGACAAATTTGACAGTCAATGCTAGTTTCAGGCCTATTTTTTAAGAGTGCTTTAAGCTTGAAGTCCCATCTTATTCTACTCTACCCCAAAATATCAACATGTACCTAAACTGGGGCTATTATGCTGTTACTTCAGACCGTCACAGTATTGTTGGTTGTATGTAACCATCAATATACAGTATCCATGGGCAGCTTGTTCCACACCATCCAAAACAGGTTTTAGTCCTGAAATCCCAATCCCTGATGACAAATTATGCTGTGGAGAATTTGCAATGATTACTTCCAAGATAACGTGTGTAAATTACAGAAGATTTCTAAGTAATTTTACTCTGCAAGAATATCTGCCTTTTCTGCAATCTGGGGACACGATACAAAAAGCAAACCARTGACATTCCATACTCAGTATGCTATTTTTGATTTTTTCCTCACATTTTTTAGATTCCATACTTTACATGATTACATTTAATATGAGCTATACCATCTATTTTTGGTATTCCAGAGCAGAGCATATATTCATTTTTTTAAAGATATATTTTTAGAATCTTGTTAAAAAGCCAACATTTTGTCCCATACAGCACATCCCTTGGCTCACAGAGCCAAGATCGACTTACTGCCTTCAACATTTGTAAATCTCTATCACCAAACCACAGGGGGCAATGAGAGCCAACCCAGCCTGCTTTCTGACCATGTGTGAAAAGAAGAACAAGTTCAGTAAAAAAATAAAAACTAAAAGTAGAAGGAGGAAGAACAGAAAGAGTCATGAAACAGAACAGACATAGTGGCTGCTGCATTCAAAGAGGTACAGGGAGAACCCTGGTGTTTTATGCCTGTTAAGTAGTTAAACAAATAGGCTACAGAGATGACYTGGAAAAAAAAAGTGACAGTCACAGTATTTCAGGCCAGGAAACTGACACCCACTTAATAAAATTYCATCAATTTATTTTTCTTGGTCCATCTCTGACACTCCTTGGTCAGATCCTATCTTGTCGGTTATAGCTTCTTGTGCCAGGACTCAAGCAGACTTTTTCAGGTTGAAGACATGGTTCCTGTTCAGAATTTGCTAAGTAGCTCAAAATGAGCTTACTTTAAGCTTAAAATTGGTTTCCTTTTTCATCCATTGCCATCATCTTCAGGCATGACATCAAGCTCTGCAACAGTGCTGCTGTTCAATCCCTCTTTCAGAGGCCTCCAAGAATTCCTCCCACACAGGTCACTGCTTGCCTTTCAATGACTAGAAGTGCACAAGCTTGCAAGGAAAACAGCTTTTATTTTTAACTGTACACTTTTCCTCATATACACTGCTTAAAAGTTGTCCTTATTCATCCTGTGTGCTTAATCTTCTCTTATTACTCCAGAATTGCCTACTGCAAGCACTTTGCATGTGGACCTAGTGAATGATTTTATCCTTAGACCCTTCGTATGACAATACAACACTGAGGCCACAGGCAAATTCCTAAATCCAAAGCCACTTACACATACAGGACATGTCCTTCACGATGGAATCTATACAGTGTCCACTGTAGACACACCACCAATTTTAAAACAAATTMCCCTTAGCATAGTTCACCTCTAGAACTGATTCCCACGGTGGTAGATGACCATGTTCGGCTAACAAAAGGGTTTGGATGCCAAAAAGCCAAAAATGGTACCTTTCTCCATGCTAAAAGTTAGTTTTTCATTCCCTATGACAACTATCTGGTCGGTATCTTATAGATTTTTCTACCAAGGTAAAATAAATCATTGTAGATTATGCAGATTGGCTGGAATATATCCCAAATCCAGCAGAGATTAAAAAGGCAGATACCTGCCATTTAAAACATTTTGCTATTAAAACAGCTGAAAACAAGATAATGCCATTACAGAATTTGCTTCCTTAGAGTCTGTGGACTTAAAAAAAAAAAAAAAAAAAAAGCACAATGATCAACTCATTTCATTTCCTCACATTTGGAAATAAGCTGATTAAACAGACTCACAACAGATCGTGCCAAATTTGTCAGGAGCTTAGTTTCCTAGCAACAGGTACAGAACAGCATTAGCAATAGATTAATGATTTGCACTAATAGATTTGCACTGTCTTACAACCTTTAAAGAGCACATCACCTGCACAGGGTAACTACAAGGGCTTTAGAGTTCAGAAATGTATTATAAACATTCTAACTTTCTACAAAATACTGTTCAAGAAAAACACCCATTTTAGGGCAGGAAAGAGCACACAGGTGCTCAGGCACCCAAATCCTCTCCCATCTCTGACCCTGGTTGCCTACAGTTACTTTACCCAAGAAAAGGCTAAATGTACTTTCTTGCAACAATTTCCCCCATGGAAGTGACTAGCATAAAGCTAGAAATAGTGAAAATAAAACCTCAGGATAGGTGCAAATAAAAATGCATATCCTCAACTGGATTTGTGCAAGAAGCCTCAGGAAGTGCGGGGAAAGAGGGCACCTTGGTGATTAAATTAAATGATTAGTATTTACTTTTATTAGTATCAGTAGCTAGTAGCTATGAGTATTTACTTTTCACCAAATTTGACCTCCTGGATACTATTTCCCCTTGCAGCAAGTAAAAAGTTAATACAAATCAATGTTTTGTTTCATAACAACTTCCTCTCTCTCCCATCAAGCACAACAATTAAATTCTAATCCAGTTGGAAGAGACCAAATTGCAAAATAGAATATTGATTTGCATTTCTATTCATTTTAATTTAGCGAGGCAGAGTACAATCCGTGAGTTTACACATGGGACTGGGAAACAGACATAAATACTATGCTCCATTTCCCCAAAGATCCATTTTTGTCATAGCAAGATATTTCATAATTCTAATATAAATGCACAACTCTTCAAATCACCAGTATAATGCACACACAGATCTGTTGCTTCTGACCTGCAGCTAGTAGCATTTCACTCCAAGTAAATGAAACCCTAAATTTATTTGTCAAGTCTTATGGCTAGCCTGCCAGCCTAGCTCTGGCATCCTCACTTTTATGCTGGTGCATCTTGATTTGCAAGTGTTGTGCAAAGATGACACGTGCATATTGTGGTAACTGGAGCAGACATTGTATTTGTTAAGAAAAGCATCTGGGCTGCCCTCCTGGATGTGGAATGAATATATTTCACTTGAAGGTGCAAAATTCTCTGAAGTCCTAGAAAGCTCTGCAGCGTAAAGTAGCCATAAGTGCCACTACTTTATGGGCTGCTTCTCAATGTCTGGCAGTCACATGGGAGCAGGCACAGCTTGTGAACAGAAAAACTTACCCACAATAGCTGTTGACCAACCCTAAGCCTTTTTTTAAATAAAAGAAGCCAGCAGGAGCAGGTGTTAGTGGCCGTTACCAGGAGCGAAAGCGAGCAGTGCTACCACCGCTCTTAGTCAGACGAGAGGCACTGCTGCACTTCTCCAGTCCTGAAACTGATCTAAACCTTCTGAGACAAAATAAAGGCCAACTGATTTTGTTAATGCAACAGAAATGATGACAAAAAGGGTGAGCAAAGAATGAGTCTTACTTTCCCTTACAGATTACCAGGCCACAGCTTAAGAAATGAGGTGATGCCTTATTTTATAAGGAGAGMGCTACAAATAAACTGTCAGGAATGACCTTTGCATCTTGCTGAAGAAGGAAAAACCAAGGTTAAACATGACTAYTTGGGTTAAATTAACAGCATCTATGCAGCACGTTTTGCAGAAATAACCAAATAAAACACAAATGAACAACAGCTAACAAACCCTTTCAATTGAGGCATCTATAGTGCTTAGCAGCTTATACTAAACACCAAAAGAAAGATGGTAGATGGTTCCAAGGAAGCTACATCAGATTATTTGTGGGTATATTTCAATATATTACTGCAAATTTTCTCTTCCACCCTCCCTCCTGTCTAAAATTCATTTTGAATACATGGCTAACACTATTCAACTGCAAATTCCTTAAATAAAAAAATGAATGGTTACATACTCTGTAATTGTAGCAAGCAGTAGACTCTTAAACATGCGAAACTAAACTGCTACATTGAACAAGATACATTTAAGAGAAATCTTGCAGATGGAGGAAACAAGCTCCACAGAACGTAACAATCTACATTAGACACCAGCGAGCAGAATAAATAGTGACATACATCTTCTCTTCAAGAAAACCAGACTTCCTACCTTCACTACCGGGTGTCCTCCAGTAGATGCTTTCACTGCTCCTCTGCTTCCTTCTGTTTCATAGTGAGCTCTATGATGAGTTTTGGGCTGGACTTCTATTTTCAGTTCACACTGCCCATAATGGCTTGGTAAGGGCCAGTCCAGAGGTGGCAAAGAAGATGTGCTGCAATCAGGACATGCACACTATGGTTACATGAACAATGCCATTCACCCAGCGTACAACGAATATAACTAAACTACACACAAATCACACAGCTTACCTACCAGATCACTGTCAAATAAGAATAACTAGTCTAACACAATTGCTGAGAAATTCCAAAATGCGGCTGATATATTAACATCTTTAAGTGGAACATTTCCTCTGGAGTTGTTCAGTGCTGTAATTATTCCTTCTAATACCTGATTAAAAGACAGGCATGACTCCCTGTCCCACATTACCAGCATTACTCCATACACTCTTAGATTATTTTTTATCTTCAAGTCAACTAGCAAGCAAGTTTAAACTGCGTTAAAGGGAACAATATTAACTTACATATAATCTAAAGTAAGCCTGCCTGGTCTGCAAGTCATTACATTTTAACAGCCAGCATTACTGTCTTGAAGTCAGCACTACATTTTGCTAAATATCATTAAACACTATATGATGATCCACATTTTTAAAAGACAAGTAGCCCAATTAAGCGTGAAGACTGTGTAGCAGGCAACAAGCAAAGTCWAGGACATCTGCAACACTTGCTTAGCTTACCCACATTATACCCTGACACAGCTGTGATGCCTCTCCACAGAAAGAAAGAAATGCATTAATAATAGCAATATGGAAGAACCTCAGAAGGAAACAAGCCCTGCATTATCACCAGCTTTTTATACCTATCCTTTGACCTGCATAAATTCACAGACTTACAACTCCGKTAAGATGAACAGCCAGATTCAAGTCAGTAATTACCCAGTAGAGCAAGTCAATGCAATGTAAAAAAAAGAAGCATTTATCCTGTATGTTTATAGCACTGGGTATAGCAGAAGAACATTTGCGTTCCTGTAAAGAGCTTTTGAACACCATACTCGGATCAACTGGGAAAACAAGCCCRGCTTTATGGAGGGGGCCAAACAATGGTTTGTTCCATCTCCTGCAAATGCTCAAATCCATTCCTGGTCTCTTTATAGGAAGGGCGGGGGAACAGAAAAACAAAATGCACCCATCTATCCAAAACCATGCAAATTCCCCTAAACACTAGCAGCCCATAACCTCATCAGTTATACCTGCTAGAGAACTCAGCCCAGAGCTGTAAAATACACGCACTGCTGGCAGAGAATGTTAGAACTGAATAAAAAAGGAAAGAAAGTCTTGCCTTTAGGATGGACTTGGGCTAAGCCTACAGCACCACACATAAAAATACTAAAATGAGTTTAGAAAGAAGTGTAGCAAACAAAAAAAATGGCCTTAATTAGGTCTAAAAACTTCTTTCCCTGTTTTGCCAAATATATCAAAATAGTTTTTGTGCACAGTGACTGGATACAGTCCCTACAAGGACTTAGTATAACATGTGAACTATGGACTAGATATTGGGGACTAAAAAGTATTATTGAATATTATATATTAAAATCATTAAAGAAAAGGAAATTATTTGTTGATTACAGTCACTCTCCATCAAACTTGAGAGAAGTTTAGTCCTTCTGCAATCAACCATTAAAACATGGCATAAGCGCAATCAGACAGCTCTATCAATTCTCATTATCTCCTAAAATAATATTTACACTACTAGAACAAACACAGAGACAGGAAAGAAACCAAACTGCAAGATTTTTTTTATTCTTTGAAAACAAATAGAAAATATCAGCATGAGAGCAAGCACACACGCATGTGCAAATGCCTAAAATATTCAAAGTTTGGAAAGATTTCAAAATGCAGTTTTCCAAGTATTATGAAGATTTTCAGGCTGCACTGCATTAAACTTACCTTCTAGATGCAGCAGGCTAGAGATTTGCAGCTGCTTCCATTTAGAAAACAAAAAAYGGTGCTGGAGCCCCAAGCTGCGACCATTTCTCCTTTAATGTTTTTCTTGCTATTTCTATCACCCTCAGCTTTTCTTTTGGACAGCAGTGCAATCTTAAAATATTTGACTTTAATATTTATATTAATAGAAATATTTACACAGTTCTGTGTAGTTTTCCTAAGGGGATATCATTTTAATGGATTTAGTGTATCAATTTAATACAAAGTATTCCAAAAAAAGTAATATATGATGCTTCTCCATCACGCTTTCATTGGTGTTTTTCTCAATCTTTTGAGGCTGCACACTGACCTGGATCATTCATCTGTGGTTTCATTCAGTTTTGAAAAGAAAATTTTTGACTGCGATTAATTTATCAGAGCCCCAGTTGCCCGTCCAGCTTCTTCAAACAGAACCWAGGAGAACAGCTTGGAATGGCACCTTCTCGGAGTCCCATGGAAGTCACCCTGCACCCCGACACTAAATGAACAAATAACCAACAGATCCAAACACAAACTGGAAACTCTTCTATTTTTTCACTCCACACAGAAACCAACACAAAAACACAAGAAAATCAGACTAATCACCTGAGTGTTTTGGGGCAAGGTAACAGGTTTGTGCACATCTGAACACTTCTCCATGTGAAGCCACCCAAAACCTGACGCTGCAGCAGGAAAATAAGTCTGAAGACTTATTCAGACACATTCAAGAGTAGGAGAAAGAGCTGCTTGAGACCCTTGCTGGTGTTGTAGAAAGATCTCAGCCTCTTCCACGTCACACAGCAAGATGACGCTTGCATTATAAYGATAAAGACATTTTATTTTCCATTCAGAACATAGAATCTAGATCAACTGTTGACTTAGGGTTTTTTTCAAGCCATTTCAGATCATAATATTAAAAGAAACATGATCTTAGATTGTTAAAAATCACTCATTTCTGAACTTGGATGGGAGGAGGAATATGTTTCTAGCCACTTGCACTCGTTTTATTAGAAAAAGACTGCCTAGTTCATTACCAAACGAGTTACAATAGCTTGTGGCTTATTCCTCTACAGAAYGTTCATGTTTTGTTTCTCTTCAAATGAGAGAGAGAAAAAAAAAAAWGGTCTTAACAGCCAACTAGTAAATCTCCAAATGCTACATTAGGAAACAGAAATAACCAGTGACAGTCATCCTACATGATTCATTAATTCAAGTTTCAACATGTTGGCGAGACAGCACCCATCTATAAACCTACAAACGTTCTTCCAGTAATACCAAGAGTTGAATAATCCGATTAATGCAAGYCTCAAAAAGCTCCTATCACATCAAGATTAAAGGCTTTGGGGAACAGCTGCTATTCAGAGAAACTCGGAAGGAAGGAAGCCCTTGGCAGCATCCTCAGCRCAAGGCACAGTACTTACAATTACCCCTTCAGCATTCACAAATGTATTTAACCCACAGCATCCTCACCTGCAACCATCACRTGGGAACCACAATCGACTCAGGTTGCACAACACTGCCGAGGAGACACCTCAYATTCAGCACAAGGGCAGTCTAATGAACCCAGATGGATTTCAGTTCTCAGAGGACACGGTGGGCCCTGACTCTGCCCCTCTTGCAGAAGAGCCAGACCCCAGAAATGAGATGCTCCTGGAACATCCTGCAGGCCGGGAAAAGGTGCTGGATGGCAGCTCTGCACCACACTAAGGCTCTGCTCTTTCCTCTGCCCACATCTGCTGCAGCAGGGCCAATGAGGGCTACTAAAAACGATCAGTTAACACCCTAAAATTAGGGTTTTCCACTTGGAACACTAAGACTGTGCATATCATTGGACAGACAGTGTGACATTGCGCCTTGCACTGGCACAATCTGCCTGTGCTGCTACCTTGACTGAAGTGTTTGCAGGATTAGTTCTGTTTTAGTCTAAAGCTCTCCTGGGTTCCTCGCTTAGAAAGTTTTTGAGTGCAACAGAAGCTGACACAAGAACTCCTTTCAGCCACCCTGAGCGAACACGCTTCTACCTCCTTGTAGGCACTAGCTCTAATAAAGACCTTTTGGAAATTTCCACTAAGATTTCAAAATGCTAGTGGAAGTTATTTCCTTGGCCAGTTAAGATCCACAGGTTGTCTAGAATGACCTGTTGGTCTTTTCTTAGTTGCAGCAGAAATAACACTTGCCACCTACCTCTCTCCCAATACATCAAAATCTATCTGTAGGAAAGGCTTGTTGACCATACCATGTTGGTGGATATTTCACATCTTTTTCTCACCCTGAGTTTCAGCAGGGAATAATGAACAACCACAATTACCCYGTGACAAGTGAACGTTAAGACCCAGCAAATCCTTGAACATCTTGCATCCTAACTGCAGCCCCTTTCAAGAACACTTGTAGAGTCAAACCRCTGCTGGGCTTGTGCTGCACTGCACACAGGAACATTTCCTCAGGTGGARCAATTTGGGAGTTAATGATTTTGGGGACATTCCACCTGCCACAATGGGTTATCAATAGATTTTTTTTTTTTTATAATATGTACATCCAAAATATCACCGTTCCACTAGGAGACCTGCAGTTAAATATACTTCCAGAGCACTGATAAAGCATACCGCCAAGTAAAATCTGTATTCTAGCATATCAGAACAAAGCAGAGAGCTTAATCTTACCTGTAGCACAGAGSTCCTGTATTAAAGCACTATCTGAACTTCTTTAGATTCTTTAACGGTGCGTAAACATTACAGCAATAGCCTAGTTTATTAAAGCCCTAAGAGGTTCAAAGTTCTCTTGCTTGTCTCACTTAAGTGGGTACTTATCTTCAAAGTCAGCGATTTGCAAATATTTTCACTTGAAAGTTTTGCTAACACAGCATAACTGCTGTTATTCCTATTTAACAGAAAACAGATGGGTAGCAAATGAGCTTGTCYGTAGCGCGCTCACACTGAATGATTTGCTCTTAAAATTAAGACTGACGGTCCAACAGTTATGTTAAATACTGAACATAATTCTGTTCCCTCGGCTTCCAAAATAAGGTTTCAGACAAGAAAAAGAACTAACTGTTCCAGTATTTGCCTACCTAGTTCGACTCTCTCCTCACAAGGTAAGTAATATCATCAGCAGTCCTGGCTGTCAGGAACAACTGCCAGACAAGAGCAAGGAAGATGCTCTCACACTGCTATTTATCATCATCATTGAAGAGATTCCTGAACTATAAGTACAATCACCAAAGTCTCTTTGCTCTTCATCGCCACAGCATAAAAACTCTTCAATATCCTATCACTTCAACACCTTTTAGAGTTAAATTTGCAACATGGTGTTCTTAAGGCAAACATTAGTTCATATAGTAGTTTCAACAGTAACTCTGTAAGTCAACTTACAGCTAAAGATTCCATGAGAAGCAACAGTTAGAGAAATAAAATTTTATTTCAATATTTTTTCCCCTTAATAGATCCTGCCACTGTTACCTGGTGGACACAAAAGCACAACTTGCTGCTGTCAAATATTTGCTCCGAGAGTTAAAGAAGCAAAAAACACASCAACCCCCTGATCCCCTCATCAACTGCACTATCCTACAAAACGCTTATTTGACACATAATTTAGACTCTCGGGGCTAATACGCTAAACTCTCAGCCTATTGTCCCACTAACCATTCCTATTACAAGCCATAAATTCAAAAGCAACAAGGCCCAAAGGCACCAATAACAGAACCAACCACCACTTGCAGTTTCCCCATCACATCCACCCATTTAAGGCAACCRCAGAGCGGTGCCTCAGTCAGCGCTGCCCAAGCCTGTGATCTCTGAAGAATTCTACTTCTAGTGACATGCCTCCACTACAAGTATTATTACATTTTTTCCCTCATTAGAAGTTTTAGGGTCATCCCTATACTCATTTTTTCCCTTCTTCATTGAAGTTTAAAAAAAGACACTTTTGCACTTCCTGGAAATTTTGCAGCTGTAAATCTGTATGAGGGAGACCGATCAGATGATCAGAGGGACAAGAACCACCAGTATCAGATTTACAGAACTCTGGCCATCAATTTGTGTAAAACAAGTGTATATATCTCTTCAAAATGTCATTTTACTATTCATCTTTCTAATACAGCAGCTTTGTACTCATGGAGGCTGATTGAAGCATAAGGAAAAATATTTAATAAAAGGGCATCCACTAATGGATATTCCCACAGTAACGAGTATTTCCACTACACGCAGGAATTTCACAAAGACAAGGACCGAATTAAGAGCATTCACAGCAGCAAACTGACCTCTTTCAGACAGCGCCTCCACATGAGCATGAGGATCAAATTTAGCTATTTGAATACCAATAGCCTCTAGGAAGAAATACTTTTTTTTTTTTTTCTGGTATTCTTCTCGACTATTTATAGCCTGCACTGAAACAGGCTATCTAAATAAGAAAGTGAACTTGAATTGTCTATATTTCTTTTTAAATAGAAAATACAAAATTCAGGAAAAGAAAGAATGAAATAATCCAATTAATGAAACTATGCAATAGCCTAGAAGCATCGTTTTATACAGACTGAAGGAGAAAAAAAGGTTTTGATGGTAAAATTCAAGCTCTGGATGCTTAAACAGTCCCCAAATCAGCATCCTTCACAAAACAACGGGGCAATGAACGAAAGAGGAAGTCAGATACATTACTTTAGGAGGGAAATATGAGGCACAAATAAATTCAATACTTATCCCTCATCTGGAGGTGGGTAAATAAAGTATCTTAGACAAGAGTAGCTAGAATAAAAGTGTAAAACTGGTAAGATAAATTCATTGCTGAGTATTCTGTGAGATGATCAAGTCACTTTGCAATTGAAGAAATGCTTACCTGCAAAGATTTGGTAAATGACAGCACTGGCAGAGAGCCTGTGGCTAATACACTACTCAGAGCTTCACTATTCCTAGGTGTAGGGAGGAACTATCTATTTCCTCAACGCCTGTTTTACAGGAATTGTTGCAATAGTTCCATCCCTAACCACTCAACTGCACTTACCTTACTAGGAAGCAGGAATGTGACTCAGGGCAGATAATCCACATACGTTTTTCATATACAACAGACTGGCAAATTAGGTATTTCTATCTTAGATGACAATTTGTCAGCAAATTTATGTTGCTTAATAATTCAGTTCACTTGCAAATAGTTACAGTCCTTATTGCCCTCTGTTTTCTTTTCACTTTTGCAATTAGAGAACACAACTGCTACCTRGAACTAGTACCTTTTTGAGGAGAAATTAAAATTTGTTATTTATAATCATGTAAAACAGACAAAATGACCAAAGGAGTGTTGATTAAATATAGAGACAAATAGCCTATTTTTATTTAAAAAGCACTTTTAAAGAAGTTCTAGAAAATGCTGTTTTAAAATTAACAGAGTAGATTTGGTATTAACAAAAGAGAGCCCTCTGGGCAGCACTGACCTAATCAAGATAAATATCAAAAAGGGAAACAAAAATTCAGTGTTAGATGAACACTGAAGCCCATTTGGCAGCACCCATGAGAAGTATCCCTTCAGTAAGCTCTTCAAATTGTGATTCACTTTACTTCCATTGGTTCTAGGAATGCTTCCCTGTGTCCTGAAAGTCCTGGTTAGGGTTTCATTCAGCTTGGTTTGTAAGCATACTCCTCCATAGACAAAGATGATTCCTTGCCATTAGCTCACCAGCTAAATAAACTGCATATAGAAAGCATCAGCTACAGCAGTCTTTAAAAGTGGAGCAAAAATATATCTATTCTTGCTCCACTGTTCTAAATTCTACAAGACTCAATCCCCTCGAGAACTCTCATGTGCTCAACAGAAATGGAAAAGGTGTTCTGAAAAAATCTCCTCAACAGGCTTGTTTATCAGACAAGCCATCAGGAAATGAYGCATCAAGATGTTAAAATGATGCAAGACTGATATCTAAATTTGGAAAAAGCCACTAGAAAGGGAAATTACTGCTAATATGCTAGCAGGTTGAAAAGTGGATGCTGGCTTTTTCTGAGAAAAAGCTGTGCTTTTGTGGGAGGCGCCTGGGAAGAACTCTGCTTCAGAAAATCTGGGTTATTAGTAAATTCTGAACTTTGCTAAAAAGTTCTGCCCTCTCAGAGCAGAAAAGGTGTCACAAAGGTGTCCTTTAAAAACTTTAAGGACACTTTAAGGACACAAAGGTGTCCTTTATTTGACAGGAATATTCCCTTTTTATATTTTGCCTCAGTTACCATAACGGCAGAAATACTTTTGGAACCACAGCCCACAAATGACTTGGTTCTATATAGATTTCAGTATAAAATGCAAACTTACTTTCTCTCTAGAATTAGAAACCGTAATCAGGCCAAAGATGCACATAAATAAAAAAAAGAGAAAGAAAATCCACCATTTTATATTTCTCAGTTTTATAAAATCATGTAAGTCAAAATTGTTTAGCTGTATTAAATCTTCTACTGCTTAGATTAGATGCAACAGCCTAAAATGAACACATGCATAAAAGCYGCACACATTTGACTCAGTTCAGCTTTGTGCATTCATATTGACAAAATTTATTAATAGAGTCAATCGCCTGCATTACACTGTGGCTGCGGCAGTTTAAAAAGAAKAAACAGATGGGCATTTGCTATATCAACTTGCTTTTCTCCGATTATATCATTTACTTAGATTACAATAACTTTTCTGAATGCATCACTGAAATATAAACACGTTAATACATCTCTGTAAGATRCAAAGAACGGGAGAGAGGGAAATCCTAATCTGAACACTTTATAGATTTTTTTTAACCACTTACCGAAATATAGGGGTATGGCCAGGCTTTGGTTTGTTCCAAGTAAAGTGCGACGGAACAGAAAGAAATTGGTCTCCRGGCAAATCTTTTTTCAAGCTGTGTTGAGATCCAGAGCAATCATCTACTGCAGTTTCAAGGGACGACGATAAGTTTCCCTGCTCCTCAGGGCACAGATCAATTTTTCCAGATAAAGTGGCCGTTTGATCCTCTGAGGTCTTCCTTGTTTTCAGAGGGATGTCAGTCTCTGTACAGCACTGAAATGGTGWAAGGCCAGAATTAAGACCTTGTACATTGTGAATAGAAGCGTTTAGCCAGGTGTCTTCTGTTATGCTTCCTCGGGGGGAATGGCCAGGGGAGGGAGTTGGAGAATGGTGAGGAGAGAGAGAACCCGCGTAGCAGATCTCAGCACTGGAGTGTCGGCGTTTCCCGCAGGGGGACGTGGGTCTCGAGGATGGCCTTGATGTAGGTCTGGGGCTCAGCCAATTTTCATCTGTGATACTAGTTCTAGGAGAATGACAGGGAGATTGTCTAGGGGACAAGGCATGCCCAAATCCATACGGTTGTTGCCAAGATTCATCGCCGGGACCTCTCGGAGAGCCACCAGGAGATGCCAAAGGAGAGCCAAGGGTGAACCGTGCAGCCGCTTCATTGAGCTCTGAGTCTACATCATCATAAACATGGGAAATGGATTCACAGGAGGAAGCATCTGAAAACCAGCTTCTGGAGGAAATGCTGCTGGCAGGGCTTGGGCTAAGGGATGATTCCCTATATGATGGCTCAAGAGGAAGATAGAGATGGTCCCGCGATGGCCTTTCCATATACTCATTTTCAGTGCCATTTGTGTGCAATTCATCTTCATTGGCTTCAATCCCTTGATGACAGTTAGGTGAAATAGATGTAATCTGAATACTAGGGCACTCGAAGGGTTTGGGTCCACCTAGTGGACTATATTTGGAATCCGGTACCTCACCAGTCCCCTCATAGTTCTTATGACTCTGAAGTCTGGTAGAAGGTGACAGAGGAGAGGAGTGAGACTGCAGTCCGTGGCGAGGAATACAAATTGGCTGATTTACAGATGAGGATGGCTGGTCTACATTGAAGATGTATATGGATGCACAGTCATCTGACTCGAGATCTGGAAGAGGAATAAAATCAAAGTAAGCAAAGGTGGAACAAGGAACCAGAGTGCAATGCCAAAAAGGCCCCCAAACAAAACCTCGTGTGTGTCCCATTTGMTACATTCCAGACTTTCTATATCGCTCTTTGAACCAGCAAAGCACCATAAAACTCATCTTTTTTTCTTTAATTGACATATTTACAGCTGCCCAAGATTGCAGCCTAGGTTTCTGCTATAAATCTTATTTTTGACCATCTTCAGCAGTTTACACACATCTTTAATGRTTTAACACACAGCATACATAGAAAATGTGCTTAAGATCTTGAAAGGATCTAACTGAACCACTTAATTCAAAGCACACCTTTTGTAACTACGGTCCATTCTAGACAGTTCATAAATTAAGCCTAATTCATAAAAAAGTAATCTGCTTGATAGACACATGAACAAATACGATACCTTCTGCAATCCCATTAGTCAATACATTTCAGCACTAGAATATCATAGGAATAGTATTTACATCCTTTAAAATTAAAAAGCATCTTACAGTGGCCTAGCCTTCAACGAAGATTACAAACAATTAAACATTCACTCATAACAGGCCTAACAAGAAACATTATTTAAGACATTATGAAGAATCTCATACCAAAAAAGTGCTTTTTGGTTGCTTATAAAACTCCCAAGCATCCAGCCCACAGAACAGCATTTTTCAAGGCTAGTCTCACCACATTTGAGTGCAAGTTGTTTATCCAGCATAAGAAAAGGCAAAACAAAACATTCTCAAATCTCTCAAACTTACGCAAAATAGAGCAAGTATTCCAAAGAAAAACAAGCAATCAAGAGAGAGTACAAAGCCAGCAGCTCCATCTTGTAGAACTGAAGCAAATTTTCTTGCCTTGCTTCTCAGTATTAACTGCCAGTAAGGGACTTTGGTCTCTGAGACAAGATTCAAAAATACGGCTTTTCCCTTATTTTGTAACTCCTATGCTTCCACTTTCCTTTCTTTTCCCTGGTAGAAGAGATCCTTTTCTTTAGCAACCTAAAGGGTAAGTTTGGCAGAAACTTGAGATGGTTCCCTAGTCCATCCTCTCCTACACACACATACATGTATGTATGCGTGTATATAGATATATTTTCTCTAGTACATATTTATATATTGTCTCCTAATTGTTGCCTTGCTGTTTGAAACAAGGATGACTTTTAGAATAAATCTATTCTCTCACACAATCAGGTAACATACTCAAATAAGAAACAATATGTTTTAAGCCTTTCCATGACAAAAAAATGTTGAGCAAACTGACTTTTATATATGCAATTACCTCAAAATTAACTTAAACCCACTATTCTTAAATCTCAGAGACAATAGAAAAGCATTTTCAAATAAAAAGTACACTGCTATCAAGGAACTGTTATGTTCTCCAGACCCTTAAAATAATTGCTGAAGTTGAATAGGCAGAATATGTCATTCATTAAACGAGATGTAAAACATTTAAGACTAAAACTAGGCAGTTTTGTGAGTATTACAGTTTCATGCACTATATGCATTTATCTGTATTACATAATTACATCCTTAACTAGTATTACATKCATTAAGAGCACAGGACATTGTCACAGACTGCTTTCTAAATATGCATACACTAATAGGATCAGGTTACCCAGGAAGGGCTGTTCCGTGTATTGAACAAATAATTAACACAAGCTCACTATATTAAACAGTGTGAAAAAAGTATTCTCGTACCTTACATCTAGCACARTAAAAAGTCATCTTTCTATTTCCAAACACCTTTTTTTTTTTTTTAAAGAAGACATTAGTTGGAAAAGCAATCTTTTCCTTTTTGCAGACAGTAGCTATTTACATATTTTCCATATCTACTGGTAAACTTGTAAGTAAGATCTCAGATATTTTTGCTTCCTAATCTATTACTAGTATTAGGTCTGTAGGTCAAGAAAGAAAAAAGGTAATTCTAAGACAAGGACGACTGGCAAAAAGTAGTAAGGAAATTTCAAAGTAGTAAGAAAAATGTTATAGTTTTCTGACTTTGGTTTCCTAAGTCCTGTATAAAACCCATTTACCGTCATGAAYGGCTCTAGGAACAGCAGCAGCACATTCCTCGGGTTCAAACTCACACCATAGCAGAGTCTTATTTTCTTGCAGCAACAACCAAGGAATCTTTAGATACTTAAGGCGGTTTGTCAGCTCAGTGTCACTCAGTTCACTCAAAGTTTCAGTTGTGGGGAGCCGAGGTGGARAGATGAGATGAGATGATCACAAAATGCAGCGAGGATGTAGGGAGGAGGAGGAGGAGGAGAAGCCAGGAGCAGGGCCACTCTGCAGCTCAGGCTCCTCTGACCCCTCTCCAGGGCAAACAGGGCCTGAGGAGCCTGGCCCCGCTTTGCCCCTGTCCTCCCCACTGCGCACACCCGCACGCTCAAARACAGGAAGGCAGAAACCTAGAGCAGCACTAGGCACCTAATGCACCCCAAAACCCCGAAGCTGGCTGAGGGCTGCAGAAACCACACCCTCTGGAATCTAATTCACCAATACTGGACATAATTACACTTATTACAAGCTGTTAGTTGCTGGTATAGAGAACAACAGTAAGATCTTTACTGTTTCATTAATTCTACTAAGTACAAGCTGCCTAACGACTTGCTAAAATATACACCAATAACCATTTTTAGTCACCACAAAGAATGTACGCATAATCCAACATGGAATATCCCTCTGACTAATTTGAAGTAACTAGTAAAGCATATAAAGTTGGAATATAATTTAGGTGAAAACAGCCACGAAAAAATATGGTTAACAACATAAGGAACAAGAGAAGCTCTAAAAATATCCAGCACAGTATTTCAAGGCAGCAGATGCTAAATAAATGCAAAAAAAGTCTCACAGAAGAAAACTGAGAAGTGAGATACTGACATGCCCAAGGCAAAAATAAATAAAAAATAAATTATGGAAATCTTATAGCTTAAAAGGAGAGCTATTGTATCCAAATAAATATTGTGAAAAAGGAACAGAGTACTGCCAGAAGTGAAGTTGACCAAGTCATGAGGCCTTCACTGACTTTAAAATATAGAAAGACAACATTCAAGAAACAGAAACTAGGTCAGATTACTAAGGCAGGGGATGAAAACCACCACAGCACATGAAGGCAAAAAGTGAAAAGCAAAGATGCTGGGTGGAACACACATGGCAAAAGCCAAAGATCAAGAAGARTGCTGCCAGTCACATCAAAAGCCTGACACAACCCTGAAAATACAGCTGCGTTATATGCCTTTTCTTTGGTAACATTAACTGAGTGTATTGGTAACAAAATTAATAGCAATGCAGAATGAAAAAAAGCAACAAAAAAGACTAAATAAAAAAGACAGTAAATTTTGKAGAGTTGTGGATTGATAACTTCACTTCTAGGAGTTATATTGATAGTTTATTTGGCCCAGTAAGCACTTAGAATACAGAAACAAAACAAGACAACGTTTAGAACAAAGTCATATCAAACACATTGCTTTATGACTGATTAAGAAGTTCTTGTGTACTGCACAGAGAGAAACCCAACTTTGCTTTAACTTACTAACATATCTAYCGCTACCTTGCATGGAGAAGACGCTGAGCCTTCAGGAATCAGGTGAGGTCCCCTCTGCTCCGGGCTGCAAATGTGTCTGCTACTGAGGGCTCACAGAAGTCAGAAGATGCCCCGTACTCACACAGGGCACGTTAGCTATATAAAGCTGCGGATTTCTATTTAAATTCTGCCTCAGCTGTCTGTGTCATCCTTTATCAATGAGAGCCTGCCTGTCACTTCGAGTGTCCATTTGCTACCATTTGGAAAACAGACTAGTTTCTAGAAGCTCCTGTGCAGCATTAAAACAAGGCTGTCTCATCTCTAAGCCGCTAACTACCCTTCAACACAAGTTGTCTAAGTGGGGAATAAAGTTAAATAATATCCAGAACAACTGTTCCCGGAGTATATTTTGCYGGCTATTTGCTGCATCAGGCTGCACATTCAGGACTAGTAGCGCTTGCCCACCAGTTGTTCACTCCTCAGCAATGTCCTGGCACACGAACTGGTGCAGCTGTGCAGTGAGCCAGATTTCTCCACAGAAGGAAGGTCAATTATTATCAAACATCTAAACACAAGGCCCGTGCCAAAATTATCCAAATCACTTTATTCTTCTAGGTTTGGAATCTCRTAGACAAACAGGTTCTGACAATAAGAGTTGTTATAAGGTACTAAGAAAGTGCAATGTGACCCAGGTTTCATAAAAATACTAGTGAGAAACACAGTATCGGTAGTCAAGTCCTTTAAATAGCCCAAGGAAAGACTTGAGCATTGCCACAGACAGCATGTGTGTTCTCAGGCAAGTCATATAATCTGCATCTCCATTCCCAAACTGTAAAAAGAGAATGACAACCTCTTCTATTTCTCAGGTCTCTCGTAACAGTTACTATTTGCTCTTTCTAGTCACAATGCTGTTATAAAGACTGCCACAGAAATTCCCATAAATAAGAACAAAAAGCCTAACCGGCTCCATTTTTAATTCATCATTCCACTTATTTCCTACAAACAATGTTCACACTTCTCAAGACAGGAGGGGAGTCTTAAGCTTCACAAAGAACTAAAACATCCAGTGGGAACAGTTTTCTTTTTTGTACAGTTACAATGCCAGTTACCTTATCAACCTTCTTTCTAGCATTCTATCAATGGAGAGATCAATAACGAGATGTTTACCTCACTTTTGCACTGCAATCTGAGTCTTCCAGAGAAGGTTCCTACTTTCCAGGGCAAGCTTAAAAGTCAGTTTTAGTGGGGAACTTAAGCAATAAACCCTCCCAAAACAGAAGAGTTCAGCAGTGTATTAGTTTATATGGACTATGACTAGCTAGCATAAGGMACCAAATACAGTATTAAAAACATAAACAACTAGGAAAAACAACTAGAAGAGGCATTCGGAACGATTTTAGGGGAGAAAACACATCCTTACTGCTAAGCTTAGCAGCACAAAACCCAGCAATTCAA